TGGCCTACTAAGATGCTTGGGCTACCCACTCCCTTGGATGTCACCCGTGCAAGGGTGGCTGTCTAGTGAGTGCTGCATGGCTGGGCTCCTGCTCCTCCTCTTTCTTGCTACTCTCCCCTGCTCCTGTGTCTCAGTTCTTCATGTACAAAGCACCCACCTAGCTAACCTGGCTTGTCGTCTCTAAGGTATTGTCTGAAGTGAATTTATCCCCCTCTGACATCATTTGTTTGTTGATAGGCACCCCCCCCGCAGTTAAAGTTTAAACTCCTGGAGAACAGGGACTTTGCCTTGATCCCCTTTGGGGTCCTTGATGCCTAGAACAGTGCCTAGCACATAGTAGATGCTCAATAAGTCCCTGTTGAAGGAATGAATAAAGAAGAAACGTAATGAGGCAGTGGGGTCCCCAGGGAGAATCTTCCTTCACGTCCCAAGTGCTCTCCGAACTGGAGTGGCTGCCTCCCCCGTGTCCCTTGGCACCCAGTCTGTGGCCATATCGGCCATGTCCCCTGCAGGCCCTGTGTGTGCTGAGTCTTCTCTTCCACGGCTCTGGGGAACTCGGGATCCTTTTTTTCTCACTTCATGGCCCATGAAAGTGATTCTTTCAACTCATTCCATGCCGGACTTGTCCCAAACCCCACGAATGCAATCATCTTTGTCCCAGGGTGTGAAAGTCAGGGGCAAAGATGAAACACACGCCACGGCGCGGGGCTGAGTTATGGCATTCACGAGAGCCTCCGATGGCTCTTCTGTGACTCATCTGTTTATTTTAATGACACCAGAATATGACAGCATGTTCAAAAGAGAATGCACATTATTTATTCCATACGGGGGAAGTGGCACCATAACATTGTTTTTAAAAACATCTTTAAAAATTTCCTACTAGAACCTATTGTTGAGTTAGAGAAACGAGCTTTGCCAAATGTCCAATTCTGTTTTTCCTGGTCCTGCTAGCTGGCATCCCTCACCACCTTTTCCTAAGTGTTTCCTGTGGCACTGTTTAACCCAGACTAGAAAATACGAGTAAGTGCCACCACACAAGAGCATGTCCCCAGCTCCCCCACCATCTGGGAGTGCGTGGGGAGATGGGTGGAGGGTGGAGGCAGGGGACATTCTCCAGGCCATCGAGAAGGGCTTCTCTCTATCTGGACGCCCACTGTGGGGTAGCAGGAGGAACTTTGGCCTGGGTAGACACCTGAGTCTATCCTGCCTCTGGCAGTGATTAGCTGTGTGGCTTTGGTCTGTGGTCTGCTCACTTCATTTCTTGCATTTGTCTGCCCTTCGGTCTTCCTGCCTACCAGCGACCGCCTAGGGTTCCTCCAGCTCTGAGATCTTGGATCCTGAGTCTTGAGGGGCAGGTCACTTGTTGCTGTGGACTTTTGGTCCCAGCAAGGGCAGTGTGGGTGACTGTGTGGTCTAAGGGTTCAGTCTGGCCACAGCCTTGTCTCTGGTGTAGGGCAAGGTTAGCTCAATCTCAGTCCTGGCCATTCCCGAAGGGCACCCTGCGGGCTTTTCTCCTTCCTTTCTCTGGCCCTGGGAGAGCTGCTCCTCCTCGCCCCTCTCCTCGTCTTTCTGCAGTATCAGACCTGGGTTCCTTGCTATAAAATCAAAAAGGCAAAGCTGTCTTCTAAAAAGGGCCTTTTGGCATGTCTATAATAGCAACAACAACAGCAATAATAACAGCATCTTACATTTAAGGTTTTTAGTTTACACTTTACAAAGAGCTTTTAAATACATCATTTCATCAGCCATTGTAGGTCCCCTTGGTTGAGTCAAAAGGAGACCCTCCTTCCCCTTTCCTGATTCCTGCTCAGGGGGAAACAGCCGGGGTGGCCTCTTCTGCACATGCCTGTCCCCACACACAAACACTGAACTGTGGGTTTTTTTTTATTTTTATTTTTTAGACAGAGTCTCTTACTCTGTTGCCTTGGGTAGAGTGCAGTGGCGTCGTCATAGCTCACTGTAACCTCCAACTCTTGGGCTCTAGCGATCTCCTGCCTCAGTTTCCCCCGTAGCTGGGACTATAGGCACGTGACACCATACCTGGCTAATTTTTCTATTTTTTTGGTAGAGACATTGCTCTTGCTCAGGCTTGTCTCAAGTTCCTGGCCTCAGGTGATCCTCCAGCCTCGGCCTCCCAGAGTGCTATGGTTATAGGCATCAGCCTGGCCTGAACCATATTTTTTAAGGTGCAAATTAACCAACTAAACTCCTCCTGTCCCATGAAAGTTTCCATTTCTAGAATTTGGCTGCTCAAGGAGAGAGTTTTGATTTCACTTATTAGGAAAACTTGATTTGGGGGAGGATTTTCTTAATGGTCCCTGCCTTTGGCGTTGCTTAAAATCAGGGCTTCCAAAATGGAGGAGGAAGGCTCAGAATCTCCCCTAAGCCACACTGACAGGCCTGGCCCTTTTGCTGTCCCGGATGACTGTAGCTGGATTCAGGGTTGGGCCCGGGGTGACTGCCAGAGGGAGGTCTTAGGTTCCTCGGGGAGGCAGAGGGAAGGTCTGCAGCCCAGGGAGTCCTCCCCAAAGCTAGTGACCCTGGGCAGGCTCAGTGGGCTTCCTGCTGGGTGGGGAGAGGCTGGCCAGGGTGGTGGTGGTGGGTAAGGCTCAGGTCCACCTGCTGGGGGTTTGGGGGCTGGCAGGGCTGTTAGCAGATCCCAGGACACCCTCCCAGGGCAGAGCTTTGAGCTGCCATAAAGGCTTTTGTGATCCACATGGAAAACAGTGTTTTCTAGCTACAGAGTGAACCACTGGGAGCCCCCAAGGCCGTTTTGGGTGACAGAGCCCTATCTTCTCTTCCAGGGCTTTCTGTACATTGCCCCAGTTCTCTTCCTAACCCAGAGCTTGTCTTACAGCTCTCCTCAAACAACACCCTGGCAGGCTCTGCCCTTGCTTGGCATGCACGGCTCTGGGTCTCACGTCTACCTCGGTCTCTCTGCTCTCCTGTGTGCGTCCCACACTCCTGCCACCCTGACCTTGGACTGCTCCCCACACCTGCCAGGCTTTTCCATAACCTTTGGTTTCCAGTAAACCCACCTTTTAATGGGCCATTCCCACGGAGAGTCAATTCCCTTTCCTGCCCCTGGCAAACTCCTATTCATCCTTCAAGGCCCAGGTTCGGAATTCTATCCTCTGGCCAGCTACTTCTTTGTTTATACTGCCATTGGAGAACTCGCTGTGTAATAAAGCAGTAGTCCATTTTCATGACAGTTTCTGCCCCAACTGTAGGATCCTTAAAGGCAGGACTTGTTTCTCTCCAACAAGAAGCAGTATGGTTTAGGGGGTAAGGGAGCACGTTCTAGAGTCAGCCTGGGCCCAAATCAGTCAGCCTGGGCCCACAGCCTGTGGCCCAAATCCTGGCTCTACAATTTATTAGATATCTACTCTTGGGCAAATTCCTTAACTGCTCTATGTCTTAGTTACTCAACTGTAAAATGGGTTAATAATGTTTTAACTATAGGGTGGTTTTGAGAATTCAATGAACACACACACATATATATATATCACAATTAGGTATCTGATGTATAATGTAAGTACAAAATAAATCTATTAATATTTGAAAATAAGCCATCATAAGGCACAGTACCTGGCACATAATGTATATTAACATGCATATTTTTAGGTAAATTCCTCCACTATCTCCTTCCCTCCTTCATTTTTCTCTTCTTTCCTTCTCTTCTTTCCTACTCCCTCCCTTCTCTTTCCCTCTTCTATCCCTCCCTATCCTCTACTGGCCTTGCGTCTTCCTCCCCTTTCTCTCTCCTGTCTTCATTCCTTGAGCCTTTGGCCACCGCTGGTCCTCCCCATACAGCCCAGGCTGCCCTGCGGCGGAAGGTCAGAGCTGACAGCTCCACTGAGTTCCAGATCCTTCTCTCTGAACCCTCTGCAGTGGAGGCTGTCGGAAAGGGGGCTGGATGGTGAGCCAGGGCGTTGGCGTGAACGGCCGAGTCCCTGGGGCGTGCGCACTAACCGCACTCGGGGACAGTCCCCTTCGGGAGTGGAGGCTGAGGCTGGCTGCGCTGCCTCTGCTCACGTTCCCTAGATACCTAAGTCACTCCCTCTGGAATCTTTCCGGATTAAAAAAAATAGCAGGGAAAACGCATCTACTTTCCTTTCCTTTTCTGGTAGGGCTTTGCTGGTGAATTTAAACTGCCCGAATCTCCTGTGTTCGCCCACTCTGGAGAAAGAATCTAGAGCTTTGAGTCTGGACCCAGGTCCAGCTCTTCCAATGATGAGAAGTATGGCTTAAGGACACTTAGGCCCCGCTTGCAGGCTCTGTAACTTGCCTTATCTGAGAAATGGGCTGTGCTGCCTCTACCGTTCCCAGGGAGGCAGAGGTAGCATAGATAAGGTAGTAGACAAGAGGTACTTTGTCATTGTGCTGGTGGCCTGGAGGGTCAGGTGGCAGAGGCCCATCTGTCCTACAGCAGGAACCTCCAGGAACCTTCTAGAATGGGACACCTACTGGGGCTGTGGGTAGGCTTGGCCCCAAGGCCCCCAGGCGGCAGGCCGGGCTGCCTGCCCTCCCTGCACTGCCCTCCCCCTCAAAATTAGCTGGAGGGAGGGAGGCAGGGAGTGGGGCCCGAGGAGATGGCATGACCCTCTTCCCTGTCCTGGGAGAAGAGTGGCTGTTAGAAAAACTGGTAAAACAGTCCCCGGTTAATCCTGCAGCAGAATTCAGGTAGTCAGTGCTCAAATGGGAAGCAGGGCTGGCTCCCGGTGGGCTCAGACCCGACAGGGCGGCAGTTGTCTGGGTCACAGCGAGACTCCGAGAGGCTGGGCCAGCTGATCCCAAAAAACTGGGCATCTTGGGCACTGGGCTCTTAAAAGCTGGGTGCTTTTAGGTAAGAAAAAAAAGGGGGAGTTAAAAACAAGAAGAAACAAAGAGAAATCTTTTCTTTCTCGCTCTTCCTCTTATCCCTCCTTTTCCTGAGCTAGTTAGCAGGTCGTGGTGACTGCCAGCCTGGTGGCATTTCATAAATGTGAAACCTCTTCCTGCCTCAGACAGGCTTATCATCCTTTATTCTTATCCTTTCGTTTTAAAACATTTTTATTAGTCTTTTTTCTTCTCCTTAAAACTCTTAACAGCTGTTTATAAAAACACAACAAATACACAACACACAACTCGGTAAAAATAACTCACTATATGGTACATATACTCAGACGGTGTGATATATTTATATAATAAAAGATGAAAATAGTCACTTTCATAATAAAAATAAGTTCTATTTTTTGTTTATTTTACAATATACTTAATATTCTCTTCTTCTGGTTCCTCTCGGGCTTCATCTCCTTCACTCCGAATTTCAAGGGGTGTGTGTGGGGGGTCCCACGTGGCTGTCCCAGCCCCACCGAGCTGGAGTCCCGGCGGCTGCGGCGGGCACGGGCTTAGGAACAGGCGCGGCAGCCGCACTCCGAGTGTCTCTCCACCTCTTCCACGAAGGACGAGCCGTCCGTGCACTGGAAGACGTATTTCCGCCGCTTGCTGCGGGTGGGCTGGCAGCACTGAACCCCGCAGCCCCCGCGACACTGCATCACCGGCACCTTGGAGGCCGTGGCGCAGGACGCGTGACCTTTCTGGCGGCGGACCACCTCCCGGACCACCTGCCCCAGGCACAGATTCTCTGCAGAGGACAGAAGCGGCAGCGTCAGGGCGCTGGCAGTGGCTGTCGGGACCACGAGCGGCACCCAGGTAGGCTGTCCTGAAACACCTGTGATCGGAGGACCCTGAGAACTTACCCACCCGTCTAACTATTTCATGAATATTAGGTGCCTCTTCACTAGGGCTTGTACCTAAGCCCCCAGGATAGAATGGTGACACAAGCAGACTCTGTCCCTGCCTTCAGGAAACTTCAAGCCAGGTGAGGCAAACTGGTGGCCTGTGGGCTGATCCTGTCCCCAGACAAGTTTGACTGCCCTACACATGCTTAAAACCCACCCCAAATGGCAACCTTCAAATAACAGGAGATTTCACCTAAGTGTGGATTGCTGGCTTCTTTGGAAACCAGGAGGCCTGGCACAGCTAAGCCTGCATCCCTGGGCTGGAGCTGAGCACTGCAGACGGGGTAGGAGCGCTTCTGTGTGCCCCGGTCCCCACTCCTCCCAGTAGCCTTTCTCCCTCGGTCTGGAGTCTAGACACTGTAATCATTTAAGTGACTATATTTGTAATGAGACACTGAGGCAGATGCTACAAAGAAAAGGGTCATGCAAGAGCCTACAGAAAAGGCACTTGGCACCAGGAGGCTTCTCCGGAAAGCGATGGCAGGGGTGAGCTCTGAGTAAGAGGCAGGGGTGAATGAGACAAGGAGTGTTGGGGGAGGGGCTTTCCCCAGAAGTTCTAGAAACAACTGGAGGGAGGGAAAGGGGACCCTGTACCTGCTTGGATGCTCTTGATCCTGACCTACCTCTCTACCCTCTACCGTCCTTACTGCACCAAGGAAGGGAGCCATGGAATGGCACCAGGGTCCTTGGCCACACAGCCTTGGTAGGTCACTTGTCATCACTGAGCCTCAGTTTCTACGTCTGGAACATGGTGACACATTTGCCTTTCCTTCCAGCTAACTCTCAGGAGATTGTGAAGAACAGGCCATATGCATTTTAAAGCTTTAGGTGTTTTAAGATGACATAATGTGAACTGTGTGAGGAGTGACACAACCCTTTAGAATTATGAGAGTGCTCTAAGGATCAGATCAGAGAGAGGCTAAGATGGCTGGGTGTGTGCGCATGTTGGGGAGGGGGAGTGCAGATGTGGCAACACGGTCACGATTGGGGTAAAGACTGAGAGCTGTTTATGCTGTCCTGACAATTTTTCTGTAAGTCAGAAATTATTTCAGAATAAGTTATTTGCTCATTTTTTAAAACTTGTATTAGTTTCGGTTAAGAACAATATTTCCTTTAGGTATAAAATGTGGACAAGCCCTCAAGTGACGGGGTGGCCTGCCTGGGGGCATCGAGAAAGATTGTACAATAAAGGGGCCACTGAGATAGATTTGATTCTGAGAGTGCCCAGACAAGGAACGGGGTTCTGCTGGCCCAACAGCAGGAGGGCTGGGCGAAGACTGGTGTGACACCTGTGAGGTTACTGCACATGCGGATCACTGGGGCTCTTGACAAAATGCAGGTTCTCAGGCCTCGGGGTGGAGCCTGAGGGTCTGCGTTTCCAAGAACTCCCAGGTGGTGGGGCTGGTTCTAGTCGGGGTGCCTGCACGGGTGGGGTAGGAATCAGTTTTGAAGGCAGCTCCAGGGCCCACAGCTGGAGAAAAACAGGAGCACAGAGACAAGAACTATCCAGATGGTTCCTGCTTCCTCCTCCAGAGAGGTCCACCGATGGTCATTTTTGACACTTACTCATTTCACCTTTAAATTAGTTTTATCTTTTGTAAGTCATTTATCACTCACTTAGGAAACATTACAGTTCACACTTTAAGAATCTTCTGATCCTTTATTTACTAGGACCTCATTTCACCCTCGCAATAAACCTACTGGCAGAGGTGCTGTGAGTGATTTGCACTTTTGGATGACAGGATGTGAACCAAAGAGGTAAGACATGCTCCTCGAGGATGCGCAGGTTCTAAGCGACAGAGCTTGGCCTTCATCACAATAATGTTGCCTCTTAAGAATTCTTAACCTGGATTGTTCTTGAAATTAGGCTATAATGTAGTTCAGCTGCCAAACTCTCAGCATTGAGCCAGGTATTTCACATCCTGTGTACTCCTTCCAACGACCCTACAAGGCAGCGTGGCAGCCAGCCTCCAAAGTGACCCCACTTCCTGGTAGGGATGCGGTCTACGTGGCGGCCTCCTGCAGTGGACGTGCCCGACCCAGGTAACCAATATGGCGGTGCAGGGATGACTGTGTGACTGCCAAGGCACCAGGCCATATAAGATAGTGTGCTTCCTCCTCGCTCTCTCAGCTCGATCACTCCGAAGAAGCCAGCTGTCCTACCTCAAGGACCCTCCACCTGCCAGCAGCACGGGGTGCCCCACCTTGGGAGCAGGTTCCTGCAGCCCTAGTTGTGTTAAGTGCAACCTTGAGAGATGCCAGCTAGGCTGTTTGAACTCCCAACGCCGTAGGAACCGTGTGGGATAAAACAATGTGTATTGTGGCTTTGAGCTGCCGTATTGTGGGACTAACTTGTTATGCAGCAATAGATATAGAAGTTGGAGTATTGCACCCATTTTCAAGAGGACTGGGCCAAGGTCATGCAGTGGTGCAGCCAGAACGGCAGTGTAGACGTGTGGATGTGGAGTCCAGCTCTGACCCTGCGGCCTTCCCAGGCCCTGCCCCCGTGCACCCACCTTGTTGGCAGTGTTCCCCGCTAAAGCCGGGCTGGCACAGGCAGTAGGGCTCCCCTTGGTCTGAGATGTGACACTGGCCATGGTGACACTTGAAGGCTGAGCAGGCGTTGGCGGAGTCATTCTTGTGGTCACACGAGGCCCCTCCATAGCCCTCGGCACACTTGCACGTGTACGAGGTCCCGGTTGCCACGCATTTTCCGTGGTTGCAGCTGGGGGAAGGGGGGGGGAAGGCGGCGGCGGCGGCGGCGGCCACGAGCTGGGGGTGGGCCAGGCGAGGAGAGGAAGGGGGGGGGAAGGGAACCAGATCAGTTAGTGCCGCTGGAGGCTGCTTCTCTCCACCCCAGCTGGGGACCCAGAGCTGTGGGGCCTTGTGCTGAGTGTAGCCAATAGGCCACCTCCCACTCTGTCCTCTGCTAGCCCAGTGGCTGAGCGTCTGTCTTGTCTTAAATACCCTGTCCCAGGGACCAAGGAGCTGGAAGCTGGTGAGCATCACCCAGTGCCAGCTGTGACCACAACAGCGGCTGGCTTCCTGTCACACACACCAGAACCCAAGTGGCCAAGTGCATGTCACCTCTTGGAAGAATCTAAGCATGCACTCACTGTTTAATTTAGTAGAGCAATGCAAACACCACTACCAGCAGGTACCACTTGCTATGTGCCAGGCACTGTTAAGTGCTTTACACCTAATGTCACTGTTAATTTCCATAACAACCCCTCCTCTGCTGCTTCTATGCAGGAGATAGTCTTATCTACATCTCACTGATACGAAAACTGATGGCAATGCTTATATTCTTAATCATGATGTATTCTTGCTTCTATGGGGGTGATAAAGCCGGATTCATATTAATTATAGTCACACACACATGCTGAAGAGCAGCCCTTTATATTAATAACTGGCTCCCATTCCTGATGCAAAATATCAATTCCCAACTTGTTCAGCCAACTAGATCTTGGCTCCAGTGTCACTTTCGGCTGAGTCAGAGCTCTTAACGCTGGGAATACTGGATCTCTACAGTTAGCATGCAGCCTGGCCTATCGCAGACCCTCAATAAATATTTGTTGAATGAATAGTTGATTAAACTATCGAGTCTGGTTTGGCTGTGTGTAGTCACATTGGGGCTGAAAGCCGCCCTTGTACTTGTCAAGGTGAGTGTCGCCCAAAGGGGCACCTTTCCCTAATTCCCACAGGCGCAGTGTGGCAGCTCACGGTGGCTCCGGACAGGGTGTAGAGCAGGGGTGGGGAACCTTAAGGCCACATGTAGCCTTCTGGGCCCTTGAGTGTGAATTTTGCAGAACATATCCTTTCATTGTGGGTGGGGACAGGACAGGTGTTTTGATGCCTCTGCGTGGCCCCGCTGCTAGTTGTCGCTCATCCTCTGGAGCTTTTAAGCGGTGGCACTCACACAGAGCCTAGCTGCAGCCTGACCCCAATTCCTGCGGCATCTGCCAGCGCCCACCGCTCAGCCGAGCTGGGAGCCCCAGGGACACTGACCTGTGGCCGAGGCAGGGGTCCCGAACCTCCTGGTCACACAGTGGGCCGGTCCAGCCGGGGTGGCACTCACACACCACGCTGTCCTTCTCCACGGAGCGGCACAGGCCGTGCTTGCACACGGTGCAGGACTTGCAGCCCGGCGAGACGCCCAGGGACTGCGGCGGGAGGGCCTTGAAGTCCTGCAGCTCGTTGTTGATGCGCACCTCGTGGATGCAGCCGTGGAAGCCGCCCAGCGGCCGGTCCGCGCCCTGGCGCAGGGCGGAGAGGCCCGTGGAGGTGGGGATGCCTGCGGGAGGGGAGCAGGGACAGCGGCCTAAGCACCCTTCACCCGCGGTCCTGTCCTCAGAGCGAGAACGTGCTCTGCGCAGATTCACACCCGCGTGCTCAGAGCGCCGGGCCTCTGCTGGTCAAACCAAGGTAACGTGCCAAAACCTGGGGCCTGTCCACACGAGGACATGCATTCCCCGGTCCCACATCGAGAGTCTTTTAGAAAACTTGAATTCGTTGCCAACATTTAAATATAGAAAATATCCCATAAAAATTTGTATTTTGGGCTTTCCTAGAAAAAAATGTGACCATCTTGTCACCTACTGCCACATGGCCCCCTGGGCTGAAGGGGAGAGGACCAACCCCCCCTTAGGCAGAGAGGGGTGTTGTGCAGAATTACCCCGTCCCCACCAAGCCCCCTGCCCTTTGATCCAGGCCTCACGAGAGAGCCCGGGGCAGGTGAGCTGGAGTTTGGGAGAGAAGATGAGGTTTGAGGGAGTGCCTGATCACGGGAACTTCGGGGTTCAAGGTGGTTGGACCACTTTGCAGCTTTATGTGCTATGGACCCCTCTTCTCTGTGTCTTCGGGGGACCACTGGGAAAAGCCTACTTTGCTTTTCCATGACGTCTGATTCCTGTTTCCCTTCCACACCTCTCCCTGCCCAACGCTGCAGTCGGGACCAGCCTGGGTGCTGGAAGCAGAGGGCCCAGTTTTGTTCTGGCTACAAGTGGGACAGGTGAAGGGAGGAGCAGGAGCCCTCCTCTGGGGAGAGGCTGTGCCCTTCCGGGACTGCTCTGGGCCAGATGCAGCCTTGGGTGCCTGGCATCTGAACCACTGCAGCCCTCTGGACAGGGACTCTTGGGTGGAAGTTTCAGGAATCTACTGAACACAAAGTTCTGGTGGCTTTTTTTTTTTTTTTTTTTTTTAAAAACACATGACCCTTGAGAACTATTGGCCCAGGGGCTGCATTTCAGGCCTGGACTCCGCCAAACTGGTGGCCACTTCCCTTTTTGACCTTGACCTTAATCTCAAACTTGCTCCTCTGCCATTCATCGCAGTGGCCAAGGAGGTGGCAGGGCAGAGGTAACATGACCTGAAGCTGGCAGACTTCAGCAGAGCTTGGACCTGCTTCCATAGTCCCCCTCCCCTCTTCTCCCCACTCCCTATTCCATCTTCACCTCCCCCCGACCTCCACAAGTTCCCAGGAGTCCCACTCTGTCTCCTTTCCAAGCATCTGTCCAAAGTTGTCATCTTTTCCCCATGGCTACTACCTATTCATACTTTAGGTTGTCACTTCCTCCAGGAAGTCTTCCTTGATTGGCTTTGGTAGTGGGTGCTGAGAAGAGGGCAAGGGAATCCCTGGCAGTGGACCTGGGGGTGGCAGGGGAGGAGAACATTACCTCCAAGGTAGAGGGGGCTGTTGATGCCCACTGCTGGCTGCTTCTGGAGCTTCCCCAGGCTCTTGGGCACACCTTTGTCCACCACCAGGTTCAGGGTCTGGTTTAACATCACCAGCTCCACGCTGTGAAACTGCCCATCGTTCACCGTCTCCACACTGGGCAGGAGAGAAAAGGGGAGAGCCAGAAAGCTCATTTGGGGCCTTCTGTGGCCGGGCACTGGGCCTGAATTTGACCTGCATTACTTGCATTTTGCTTCACTTTTTATTTGGAAATAACATATAACTGCAAACTTACATAAACTGCAAAATAACAGTATGGAAAATACTTGTCACCCAGATTCTACCGTTATTACCCCCATTTGCTTTAGGATTTATCTCTCTCCATTATATACACGCACTATACGTATACATATGCATATACATACACATGATTTTTCTGAACCACTTAAAGGTAAGTTACATCATAACACTTTATCCTTAGATACCTCCATGTGTGTTTCCCAGGGATGGGGACACTCTTACACAGGCACAGCTGTTACCAACTTTGGTAAATTAACATTGATATTATACTTGTATCTGGTCTATCATCTGTATTCTAATTTTTCAGTGGACCCAATAATGTCATTTATGGCATTTATTTCCTGCCAGTACAAGATCCAGCCTAGCGTCAGGCATGGCGTTTGGTTATCATTATTTGCATTCTAGTCTATCATTCCACACAGCTCGGCAAACTCCATCCTCAGCCCACTTCCTCGGTTTCCGCTTGGCCTGCACACCACCTGGACCATTATTTACTCCACATTTTTTTCATTTGCCCATTTCACCCTTAAGCATCAGTCAAACTATAAGCTTTGCAATGTTCTAATAAACAAAAAATGTTTTGATGTGATTTTTATATTTTCCAGTATATAGGAAATCAATTTTTTCATAGTTAAAATTTCAATGGTTTGTCATATCTAAATTCCTCCCACGTGCCACCAGTGGTGTGCATACCACATTTGGGGAAATAATGGCTTGTCACACTCCTGCAAGGTGGATTTGTTATCCCCACTACAGACATGGGGAAACAGAGGCTCAGGGAGGTTAAGCAATTTGCCCAAAGCCCAACAGTTAATAAGGGGTGGAGCGGAGGGACTGGAACTGAGCGCCAGGTTTCCTAATGTGAAAATCTGAAATGCTCCACAATCCCAAACTTTTGGAGCGCCAATATGCTGCTCTAAGGAAATGCTCACTGGAACATTTTCCAATTAGGGATGCTGGACTGGCATGTACAATGCAAATATTCCAAAATCCACAATCTGAAACACTTCTGGTCCCATGCCTTTGGATAAAGGATGCTCAACCTATATAGGTCTTTTCTGCAGGCTGCCCCTGGCAGTCCCAGCTGCCACATGCTGAGGGCTTAGGCGGGCCAGGCACTAAATGGCTCGCTAATTTGAGCCTCATAGTCATTCTGTGAAGTAGGTGCCAGATAGCTCATTTCACAGATAAAGATACTGAGGCCTAGAGAGGTTGAGTGATTTGTCTGAGGTCACCCAGCTGATACTAGCCAGAGACAGACTTTGTAGGCAAAACTTTTGACTCCAAAGTCCTGCTCTTTCCGGTTCTCTAGCCCTGGCAGGGCTGGGAGGAAACTGGTGAGAGATGACAGGAGTTTGGGGATGTGACACCTCCTCCTTCCCTGAAGAAAGGGGGTCTCTGAGGAGTACGCAGAGCTCGGTCTCATCTGTTCAGGCGTGGGTGGTAGATACAGGGGGGCTCCCTCTCTCCCTGGTCATTTCCGTTGGCTCCAACGGAAGAGGGTCCCAGCAGGGAGGGGGCACTGACTATCCAGGCAGGCAGGGACAGTTGCAGTGACTCATTCAAATTTAGAAATTTCAGCAGCCAAAGAAGAAATGCTTAGGAGAAGACAGGCTAAGTTGGGGTACAGTGGGGAAAGGGTGAGACTATGGCCAATCACAAGAACAGAACCCCCTGTTCTCAGTTTCCTCATCTGGAAAAGGGGCAGAATAACCTCACAGAACTATCATGATGTCAAATCATGAGTGCGCTTTGCAGCCAGGGGTAGGACACCTGTCTGTAGTCCCAGCTACTTGCAAGGCTCAGGTGGGAGGATTGCTTGAGCCCACGTGTTTGAGTCCAACCCAGGCGACATAGCAAGACCTCCTGTCTCTATTAAAAAAAAAAAGTTCTTTGTATGCTACATTACTGGGAAAATGTGAGCAGTTATTATTACTAGTGTTGTTGATATTAACATTGTAACATAGAACCTGTCATTGCCCCTAATGCTGATCCCTGGGAGAAAGTGACGGCAGAGGACGACACGGAGGACACATTCAAATCTGTCGGGAAATCTCTCCTCCCACATCTATCCAACCTCCCACCTGTCTCTCCATCCACCCATCCATCCACTCACCCATCTGTCCACCTACTCTCTTACCTATCCATCCAGCATCTATCTATCCATCCATCCCCCCGCCCCCAATGTGCTCTGGGCCACATTGTCCTAGGTGCTGGGAATCAGGGGCAAACAGGACAGATAGGGTCCCGCACTCACAGAGCTCATGCTCCACTTTCCTTAGCTTTTCCTCTAAGTCAAATGACCAACTTATCCTTATCAGTGTAAGGTTTGGCCAAGAAATACGGTAGTCCGGGTGCAGTGGCGGGTAGGAGCAGCCATTGGGGGATCTGGTTTTGCATGATGGGGAGCTAGTAAGCCCTCTGAAGACAGAGCTGCTTTTTTTTTTTGGAGATAGGGTCTTGCTCTGTTGCTCAGACACAAGGGCAGTGGCATGATCATAGCTCACAGCAACTTCAAATTCCTGGGCTCAAGCAATCCCGCCTCAGCCTCCCAAGTGGCTGGGACTGTAGGCACACACCACCATGCCCCGCTAATTTTTCCATTTTTTTTGTAGAGACAGCATATTGCTATGTTGCTCAGGCTGGTCTCAAACTCCTGACCTTAAGTGATCCTCCTGTCTCAGACCCCCAAAGTGCTGGTATTACACGTATGAGCCACTGCACCCCACCCTGTTTTCATTTCAGAACCCTGCAGCTGCTCCATTCCCTGAGCTGAGGACAAGGCAGAGGCTGTGATCCCAAAGATGCAGACGTGGGGGAAAGCAGGTGGGGGGAGAGGGCAGGTGTGCAGAGACCATAAACTTGTGACTTTGAGCCCTCACACAGATTTCTAACCACACATGCAAAAATATGCAGATACATCCCCAAACCATCCTGTAAACCGAGGCTGTCTGCATGCAAATGAGCTCCCCAGCCCTGAGGTGTGTAAACAGATGACAGGCAGCCATCTGTCAGAAAGGGAGCTGTCAAGAGGCTGCAGCTCAGGGTGGTGGTCTTGGCATTCCCAGCCCACATTAAGATTCAGGCAGCTGGGGCAGCCGCTTTCCCATGATAGACACACAGACACGGTGGGCACAATGCCACTGCTCCTTCCTGGCGGCTGGCTCCAGGCCCATTTCCTTCTCCCCTCCCTGCTATCCCCTGGCCAGCCCAGGCCCTGCCGCATGGCCTCCAAGGGCTCCTGGCCTGGGGACAGCAGTTTGGCAGGAGCAGAGAGGACTGTGTGGTCACTGGCTCCTGCCCCAGACAGTGCTGGACTCTGCAGTGCCCTGGCGCCTGGCTCCATGAAACGCCTCGCCTGGTGCCCACCTGGGAGAGTCCTAGGCAGGCCTGTTCCTCTAGGCGTAATCCTCGGCCAGTTCTTGCTGGGTGCAGGGGAGAAATCTGGTACCAATCATATTGGAGGTTGGGGGTGAGCAGCATGGAAGGTTTTTTTTTTAAACCACTATCCCTAAATCAGAATGGCTTTATTTCCACTTGCCCCCCCACCATTTAAAAAAAAATCTGGGTCTTTGAAGTAAAATATCAATGTGAAAATGGCCCTGCTGCTATAAAAAAAGGGGGGGGGAATTGAAAAACAGAATAACATGCTGTTCACTCTAAAAGAAATGTTCATACTGTGGTCCCCAGCCCCAGTACTTAGTCTCCTGGGAGATATTTAGGGATTTCAGAGGAGAGAAGGGGGCTCCGAGAGTCCTCCTCGTTAGCCATTGGGTCAGACTGAACCAGCGCCAAGTAGGGGGAGGAGAGTGTTGTGGGTGACAGAGTGGGGCTGGACTCCTCCTGCCTGGGACTGGGGTGACTGCAGGCATTGGCCAGAGTGGCCCACGGCCCAATATTCTCTTTTGCTTTTATTAATAGTGGTGGACATGTGTTAGTAGGGGCCAGGCATGGGCTACTCTATGCTAAGCATTCTCTAATTTAACTCTAACAACCCCCAGGTGGGAGGCATAATTTTTTTCCTTCATTTTAGAAATGAGAGACATGGGGCTTGGAGCAGTGGCCCTCAAACTACAGCCCGAGGGCCACATGAGGCCCGCCAAGGACATTTATCGGCCTGCTGGGTGTTTTTGCCACCGCTGCCTGTCCTGCTTAGCAGCCGACTCGTCTGGGGGCCCCCGTTGCGCTTTTTTGGGTTTTGCCTTGCCTTTTCCACCGGCCTCCAACGGTCTGAGGGACAGTGAACTGGCCCCCTGTTTAAAAAGTTTGAGGACCCCTGGCTTGGAGTCTTAACATGCTTGGCCCAAAGTCTTAAAGTGGAAGTGGAGACAGGACTTAAGTCCACGTCTCCTGAGCCATGGGACCCTATGCAACAGTGGGAGGAAGGGAATTGCGGGGGTGGTCATTCCTCCAGGTGTGGATGGCACTCACCGGGCTGCTGCATGGGGACCACTAGGTGGCGACAGAGCCTCGCTCGCAAACCCCACTGCAGCAACCCCGCCTCCTGCAGCGCGTGGTGGAGTGGCCACGCCCCCTCCTGCCCCGCCCTTCACGCCCCAGGGCCTGCACGGTGGGAGAGCCGGTTTTGGCGGAAGCCTGACTTGGATTTAAATCCCAGCTCTGCCACCTCCTGGGCTTCTGGCATCAGGCTTCTCATCCCTAAAGTAGGAGTGAGGACGCTTCCTGGGGCTGGTGTTGAGGATCAAATGAGACAAAGACCTTGGCAGTGGAGAGGACTGGGGCCATTAAGACTCAGGGAGCATGCACTTGCTAAACAGAGCTCCCACGTGGTGTTTGAAAACGGCCAACCTTGCCAAACTGAGATATTTCACATAGAAAGCCTGACTTTCCAGCTTCTCTTGATAATCTGCCTTCCCTGACCTCTGCTGGGGCGAGGTCAGCTGCCCCTTCGGGCGGGGCCTGTGCCCACCAGCTACCGCAGTCCCCACCACTCCCTATCGGCCCCAGCCCACTTCCCCACCTCTGTTACCTGCTTGGCCGCTTGGCCTTGCTGGCAGGTGAGTTTGGCCTTCTGACAAACCTCGGTGCCAAGACACAGTGAAGTCTGTCCCTATTCTAGGACAGGGAGGGCTAAGGTGGGCTACTGCGTGTATCTGCCCCGGGGACAGGAATGGAATCCTGAAGTGCCCCCGTCATCAGCTGTGACTTCGGCTGGGCAGATGAATAAAATCGGGCACCGACAGGAGGGAGGCCACAGAGTCCAGCTGCGAATCTCTGCTGGGGACCTGGCCTGCTCATCTGCACACTGGGGGCTGGTCAGTGGCCTCAGTGGGCAGGAGGATGCAGGCTACCAGCATCCCCCCCCCATCAGATCAAATCGGCTTTGGTTTGGCCCCCTGGCTCTGGCCCTGAGGCAGAGGTGGCCCTCCTGGGTGGCCAGAAGTCACCACAGTGGTGCTGAGATACCATGTTTTTGGTGGGAATGGCCTCCTGACCCCAGGGCTGCTGGTCAGCTCAGCCCCTGCCGTCTGCTAGGCCTCCCAGCCCAGCGCCCTCCGTGCATACTGAGGGGGCTGCCTCAGTGCTCAGCCTGTCGAAACACTCCCTCACCAGAGGTCCAGCCTCAGCTCGAGCATTGTCTCCTCTTCCAGGAAGCCTTCCCTGGTCCTCTAAGCAAAATACCTGCTCCACGGTCAGTGCGCCCACAGCGTGCTCCAGTGAGAACTACTTATTCTGCTGTGTAACCGCTGCTTGTTGTATGTGGCACTGTGTTTTACTCCGTGTCCCTGCACCTAGCCCAGGGCCTGGCCCAAACGCGGAGTGCGACAGATGTCCGGCGAGTGAGCGTGAGAGTGGGCTACTGGGGCGGGAATGGGCCGCCTCAGGGGGAAGTGTTTTTGGAAGCAAAACCATTTTTAACATGGGACTTCTGGAGACTTTGGGCTGAATGAAGGGCACGAAAGATCTGTCGCAGGCTCAGCACGAGGACGCAGCCAGGACTGCCAGGGCGTCCCTCATTTGGTCCCCCACTAAGGCAGAGCTGGGCGTCTCCCCAGGGCCACCTGCTACCTCTCTGACCCCCTCACAGGAGCTCAGGACAGCGCCGTGCTCCACCACTGCTGCCACCAGCATCCGCCCTTTACCACGCTGCCACCCCTGCCTGGCAGCTCGAGTCAGTGCAGGGGTCCCCTCCACCCAGGACAGGGCCTGGCTCCTTCCGGAAGCCTGGCTTTCCCCTTCTGACCTCCACGTGTCCACATAAGGGCTCAATCTGTCAAGCACTTCCCCTCAAGAGTTATTTCAGTCCTGAACGACAGCCCTAGGAGGTACATCCTGCTTTGGCCCACAGTACACAGGGGGGGGAAACTGAGGCACAAAGAGGGTGAGTAACTTGTTCAGACCTGGATCTGCGAGACGTGGCCCAGGACCTCTGGCTCCAGGATCACTGAGGTTAGGAGGCCCAGAGTCCCAGAGCGCGGGGGCTTGGGGGTGAGCGCCTTCTCCTGGTGCCCGCTGTGCCCAACTGTCCCACCCCGCTGGCCTTTTCTCTGCACACCCGCCACCAAGAGCCTCTTCTGCTCTGGTCGACGCCCTTCTCTGTACCTTGTCTCGTCCTGGCTACTCTCTCAGCATGCGTCTGAAAACGTGCATTTCTACCATGCTCCCAGGTGATGCCAGCGCTGCCGCCTCAGGGCTTACACTTTGAGAACCACTGGCTGTAATCGTGGTTTCAGACTGGGCTTTCTGTAGGAGTTTCAGGGGCCTTGAAGACAGTCTGTGCGGAGCAGGCGACTTTGCGTCAGTTTTGGGGCAGTTTTGCTACTGTGTATTTTGACATTCTTAAGTTCAATATAAAATGTTGATGGAATAAAAGATTGAGGTAATTAGGAAAAAAGGGCCTGAACATTGCAGCTCTTCAGCGGTCCCCATGAACCGAGCTCTTGCTTCCAAAGGGGACAGTGTGCTCTCTCTCTCGTTCTGTGGCTTCCCCAAGTTTAGCTCTCCTTGCACTGATGGTTTTACGTGATTTTAGGGGCGACGCAGAGAGACGTTTCTAACTTACTCATAATTAAATTATTTTCATAGTTATTATTTTACTGAGAATTGGGGGAAATCATCTATCTAACTAGCTTCTCTGCCATTCCCCTGATGGCATTACTTGAGAGGAGGCTAAATTCAAACGCGAGCAGTTGGAAGCCGGCGCACGGTGGCGTAGGAAGTAACAGCGCAGCGTAGGAAGTAACGGCGCAGCTGCCGCGCCTGCGCACAGTTCAGGGCGGCTCTTGGAAAGGCTGAAGTTTGGGAAGAGCTGCCCTTGATAGCAGTTTGAAAGTCACTTAAGGAGCATCCTGCTCCCTTAGTGCCCCCCGATCTCCTCCCCTCGAGTCGCATGCTAATCGTCCCCTGTTGTCTTTCTTAAACTAATAAAAGATTAGGGTGACATTTTGAAAAGGGCATCTCATTAAGCAGCGCGTCCCCCCGCAGCACCCAGCTCCACCGCGGTAGCCAGCTGGCCATTTGTCTTGTGCTGATGAGGCGTCAGCTCCCTACCCCCAGCCCGGAGCCCGCCTTCCTCTCCTGCCTCTTCCTCCAACACGCCTGCGCCCCTCCATGCTCTGTGTAAGGAGGACATGTGTGTGTGTGGGGGGGTGGGGGGCTTCTAGAAGAGCCCGCAGAGTCACCCTGGCGTCTCTGGCAGGGCCAGAGGCAGGAAGGTGCGGAGGCGCAGGTGACAGGTGGCGGGTCCTTACCTGTACACCGTGGTAGGAGGGGAGCTCAGGCTGTCGTAGACCAGCCTCACGTGGCCCTGGTACAGCTCCAGCGCCAAGGGGTCGTTGTCTCCCTTGTAGAGCAGGATGCCGTTGTCCTTGTCGGTGGCCACCTGGGGAGAGCGGCCAGGATGCGTGTGTGAGGGGTTACCCGAGGCCAGATGTCCCTGACGCCCCTCACAGAGCGCTCTCCCAGGTGGCGGCTGCTGAACCTGTGCTGGGTCTGAATTCGTGTCCCTCTTCCCTCCTCCACCCCAGAGGGCAAGGCCGAGACTCACAGGTGAGCAAACCGCTTCAGCACGTACTCACTGAGCCCCTTCCTACGGACCGCTGAGTTCGTACATTTATGTACGTCGGGAGGCCCACGCTCTCATCTGCCCTGTCCCACTGGGGCACAGTGTGATCCTGCCCAGGTCCCTGCTCTGGGGCCTCGGTCTCTCTGCATACAGCATAATGGTTATCAAGACAGTGCTAGCAATCACCATCTAACTCAATGTGTACGATGAAGCAGGCACTGTTCTAACAGTCATCTGGGGGATTTTTAAAAATACTGCTGCCTGGACTTCACCCCAGACCAAGTACACACGGCTCTCTCAGGGCTGGGGCGCAGGCAATGATGGTTTAATGGTTTAGAAAGTTCTCCAGGTGATTCTAAAGCACTGCCAAGGCCGAGAGTCACTGGTTTCAGCAGGTGCTACCCTGAAGGCACTCGCCTGCCAGCCACCTGGCTGCAGGGATGGGATTCTCGGATTGGTCCCTGGGCACGTCCGGCCTGAGGAACGGGCCATGGAGCAGGTGGGTCTGATGGGACATCTGGGTGTCGGGGCACTGGGTGCTACCCTGGCTAGCTGGGACCCAATAATCAGGTCGCTGGGACTGAGGGAGGAAGGCAGGAGGGGACGATGGCAACAGAGCTTCCCTCTTGTTTGTGCCTGGGTCGACCCTCACTGCAGAGGCCTGTCCACTGGGCTGTGGGTGCCACAAGCTGAAGCAGTTTGAACTTTTTGTGCATTTCTGTAGCCCCAGTGCCTAGAAGACTGCCTGGCGAGTATAAGTGCTCCATAGATCTTGGTTGAATGAGTATTTTCTCCATAAGCTCCAGGTTAAACCTGGGTAAACGTGGCCACAACCCAAAGAAGGGCCAAGCCCCAGTTGGTGCCCGACCCAAGGGCAGGGACCACGAGCTGGCCCACACCCTCTAGTGGTGTCTGGGGCTCCCCTTCCCCAGCACACCCACTGGCAGGTGCCTGTTCTTTCTCCATCATACACACTCTCTGCCCATCTCCTCACCCCCTAGAACAGCATTTGGGTTGCCCAGAAATGCAGTTTGGAATGAACATGTTCAGGCACACAGGAAGAAGTTAGAAAAGAACTTGGTTTATACTAAATGATTTCCTATTCCCAGAAAATGTTCTGCTTGCTTCTATCTCTGGGCTTTTGCACATGCTGATTTCTCAGGTTTGACAGCCCCCTGCTTCTGCTCTTCTCCCTGTCCCCTCAGTCCTGCATGCTTCTGCCCTTCACCAGGCAAGCTCCTGCTCATCCTTCAGGTCTCAGCTTAGTCATCACTGCCTCTGGGGAGCCTTCCCTGACTCCTCCCAGCAGGCCGGGGTCACAGCCCCTCCTATGTGCTCCTACAGCACCCAGGGCTGTCACTGTCCCCTTCCTTGCCATTCTGCCCTGGACAAGGGGCTTCCTCTGTCTTGTCTACCATTGGGTCTTCATTGCCCAGCACAGTGTCTGGCATATAGTAGTTGAATGAATATTTTCTAGAGGAATGAGTGAGTGAGGCTGGAAGTGGGGGCTGCTGTTTGCAGCGAGAGCTGTTTAGGAGTTATCTATAGAACTTTCCAGATGGAGCCCCTCCAGATGCCCTCAAGCTCAGTGTTGTCCTCGGTGACACTTTCTGGGAAGAGCAGGACTGCTAAAACCTGGGGCATCGCAGCTATTCTCTGGACAGTCAGAGCTTCGGGGCACATTGAGGTCCTTCCAAGGACGGGGGGCGGGGGGCGCACCTGCAGGGAGATGTTGGCCTGGGGCCGGACCTTGGCGGAGGCCAGTTCCACGTAGGAGTCCTTGCCCACGAAGTTGACGGTGATGAGCTTCTCGCACCTGGGGCCGGCGAAGCCCGGGGGGCAGCGGCAGGTGGGCTCCTGCTGCACCACGATGCACTGGGCCCCGTTCTGGCACTCGTACTGGTCGCAGGGGCTGGTCTGGAGCAGGACCATGGGCGGGGGGTGCTCGCAGAAGAGCCCGCTGGAAGGAGGGAGAAGAACGGGGGAGTGAGGACGGGAGAACAGCCAAGAGGAGTCACAGTTATTCAGGCCCAAGAACCTGTAGCAGAGCGGGGAGTGACATGGGGACTGGAACCAGCTCCAGGGTCCCGCTCAGCCCCGACACTACCTGGGGTAAGTCCTTTTCCTTCTCTAAGTCCCCATCTTCCCGTTTTTAAAATAATGGAGTTGGGCCAGGCACAGTCGAGCACCCGTAGTTACTCAGGAGGATTGCTTGAGCCTAGGTTTTTTTTTTTTTTTGCAGTTTCACACAAGTAACTTTTTATCATAAAACGTAACAGGTCTGTCTTTGTGAGTGGAGAGAGACAGACTGACTCCCTGACTTACGAACTAACTGACTCTTTCTCTGAGCCCAGGGGTTTGAGTTCAGCCTGGGCAACACAGTGAGACTCCGTCTTTAAGAAAAAAAATAAATAAAAATAAAATAACAGAGCTGTACAGGTCTCCAAATTTCAGTGTCATTGGAATTGCCTAGGGTGACTTTGTTAGAAGTGCAGATTTCCATGCAGGGACAGGTGAGTGGATGTCACATACCTATCCATTGGAACATGGGGCAGCCTTAAAAAGGCAAGAAATTGTGATACATGCTCCAACACGGGTGAACCTTGAGAACATTATGCTAAGTGAAATAAGCCAGGCACAAAGCAGAATCAAATGCTGTATGATTCTACTTGCAGGAGGCACCTAGAATAGTCAAAATTATAACGATGGAAAGCAGAATAGAGTTTACCAGTGGCTGCAGGGAGGCAATGGGGAGCTCCTGTTTAATGGGTACAGAATTTCAGTTTTGCAAGATGCAAAAGCTTTGGAGATAGAGGGTTGCATAATACTGCAAATGTACTTAATATTATGGAACTATAGCCTTAAAAAATTGTGGAGATAGTAAATTTTATGTTGCATGTATTTTATCACAATTTTAAAAAAGGGCAAACTCCCAGCCCCTGCTTGCCATCCCTCAATTTTAATTCAGTAGCTCTGGAACAGGGCTCAAGTGTTTGTATTTTCACAACCCTCTGATGTAGACGGTTTCAATCGGGCTTTGAGAAACACTGGTCTTGAGAACTCCAACTTCCTTCCAGGCACGTCTTTTTTTTTTTTTGAGACAGAGTCTCGCTTTGTTGCCCAGGCTAGAGTGAGTGCCGTGGCATCAGCCTAGCTCACAGCAACCTCAAACTCCTAGGCTCAAGTGATCCTCCTGTCTCAGCCTCCCAAGTAGCTGGGACTACAGGCATGCACCTCCATGCCCGGCTAATTTTTTCTATATATATTAGTTAGCCAATTGATTTCTTTCTATTTATAGTAGAGACGGGGTCTCAACTCTTGCTCAGGCTGGTTTCGAACTCCTGATCTCGAGCAATCTGCCCGCCTCAGCCTCCCAGAGTGCTAGGATTACAGGCGTGAGCCACCGCGCCCGGCCAGGCACGTCTTGCATTGACACTGTCCAGTGAGTACTGGTGTACCCAGAACTGTCCCCAGTCTGAATCCTCCTTGAAGTGGATTCCTGCTTCCCTCCAATTTCCCCTGCCCTCCCCTTCCGGCCCGAGTGGGGCTAGGGCTGAACGCAGGCCCCCTCGTCACACGCCCTGCAGACAGCTCCCGACTCCTGTCCAGCGCCTGCCGCCTCCCCTGCCTCTGGCTTCACTGATTCCAGAGGTTGACCCAGATCGTCCCGCTGACCCCCGTCTCTCTGCCACCAGGGCAGCATAATGTTCGTGTCCTCTAGCCTAGAAAGGAGCCACGTGGCCGTCCCCACCCTGCAAGCTGGGCTTCAAGGTGGTGGCATCTTCCATTAGGTGGCATCACGCCCAGGCTTGACACCACATGAGCTGGAACCTAAGCCCAACTTCCATGTGGAGTTGCCCCAGGTAGCTCCTTTGCCCAGGTACACAATGGGCTTAACGACATCTGCTCTGCAGCGTCAGGGTTGAACAGGAGCGAGGGGAATGTAGGTGTCGCCATGATCAGGGATAGGGGCGCTTGGGCCTGGGTCTCCATCCCGGCTGCTGCAGCCCCTCGGTCCCAGCCCTGGCCCTGCTACCCGGCCTGGGTTGTCTTCCTCGTGAGGGGCCCTCTGCCGTACCTGAAGCCCTGTGGGCAGACGCACGTGTAGCCATTGACCGCGTCCGAGCACTGGGCCCCATGGCGGCACTTGTGGGCCACGCAGTCGTCGTTGTCTATCTCGCAGAGCTTCCCGCTGTAGCCAGGGACGCACTCGCACCTGGAACACAGGCAGAGAGAGGCTGTTCCTTGAGGCTGGGCCAGCTCCCAGGCGGTCATTCTCACGTCCCCCACCCCAGCAGGTGGCCTCTTCCTCCCTCTTCTACCTACTGCACGGCAGCTTTCCCCGGCAATCCGCGGCCTTTGTTCCCTGCAGTCGGTGCCTGTCTGCTGCATGGGGGAGGGGTGGAGGGTGGGCGACAGTCTTGTTTTTAGAAGTCAGGCAGGGAGCACAGGGCGGGCATCACACAACCTTTGGCTCGGGCCTGCCACTTTCTCCCTGGAACTGACGTTTGGTTTGGCTCTTCCTTTGTGTCAGCCACCGGGCCAGGCACCTTTCATTGAATGTCTCCCTGAGGCCACCCAGGTCCCTGTAAGGGGGGGGGTCCTATCCTTTACACAAAGAGCAGCCGGAGCACATGGAGCACGGCAGGCCCTCCCCCGGGCCCTGTGGAGGGATAACATTTAGTTCATGCTTAGTGTGTCAGTGACTGTTCTAAGTGGATCAGTCACTCATTACCTGGTGAGTGTTTCCGTTTTTTCATCTTTAAATGCAACTGATGATAAATAACTCTGCCCCATATGGTCGCTTTAAAAATGAAATGATATGCTCCGCAGTGTGCGCTGGGCAAGCGCTGAGTAAACAGTCAGTGTGATACGTAGAAGATGGTAATAATGATGAAGAGGAAACTGGTGCTGTTTGCACTCCCCTTGATTTTGTTTTATTGCCTGTTCATTTTCCCCCCGAGATTTGGACTGGGATAAGAAGGGCAGTCACTTATGCCTTAATCAATGGCTCATATTCCCCAGGTGAGAGGATGGGCACTGCTGTCCCACCCCGGGCCCTGCTCACGGATCCAGCCCTTCCCCGAGGAGCAGCGGTTGGGCAGCTGCACCCTGTCCCTGCTGCCTCACGTTTCCAACTTGCCCAGAGAAAGCTGCTCCGGCTGAAGCCCGGCCTCCGAGCGTGTGGGCCAGAAACACACAGCTCTGCGCTCCTCTGTCTGGGCTGACGCTACACCAAAACCCCAGGACAGAGCAGACCTGAAGGTGCCAGGGGCTGAGTCACAGGGGCTCGGTGCACCCACAGGCACATATAAGCACAATGCTTGCTGGCTCTTCCGTCTCCGGCAAAGCCTGTGCACCTCTCTGAGCCACCAGCTGAATCCTACTGGGCAGAGTGAATATAATAGCCACAGCCCATCCAAGACGGAGGAGGAGGTGGCACAGGCGGGAGGAGGTGGCGCAGGCCGGGAGGCGGGGTGGAGGGGGTTCCAGAGCTCTGAAGGCTTCAGTTGTCTCGGAGGAGCCTGACTTGGGAAGCATCAGGCAGAGGGATGGTCCTTCCTCCTCCTCTTTAGGGGTAGACAGAAGTGGGGTGAGACCCACAAGTGGACCCTGGGATCGCTGGGGTTGCAGAGCATGGCGCAGGCCCTAGATTTACGGCTAAGCAATAACTGAGAGGGCAGGGTGTCCCTCAGGGGGACAAGTTCCAGAATCTGAGGATTTACTGGGCCTGTGCTCAAAAACTATGGAATCTGCTAAGATCTGACCAATTTGCCTTTGCCTATCTATGTGCCTGGCAAATTTGAAATATGTAACCTACCATTGCACCAGGATGTGCAAACTTGCACATCATAGCTCAAGTTCAGCTAGAACCTTTTAAAGAAAGAAACTTGGAATGCCTCTGTGGGGCGCGTGTGGCACATACCACGGTCCACCCCCCTGCTGCTGTGTCCCAGCTGGCCCTGGGAGGCATTGGTGCTTGCGCCCCCCGAATTCACAAACGTGCCTGCAGAGCATCTTAAGCTCTTTGCCTTCTCCAAGACAATGACAGCTGCCCAATACTCACAGGATAATTTCTTTTTTTTTTTTAAAAGCATAGACTTTGAGGCTATTGATGAAGTTTTTAATAGAAATTAGGGAAGCTATCCTCACTCCCAGACTAAGCAGAAGTCTGGAGGCAAATGTGTTTACATTTTTCTTCTTTTTAAGGCGACAGCCCTCTCCACATCAGTGGGGCCTCAAACTTTAATGAGCACACAAAACAGGCAGGGATCTTGTGAAAATGCAGCTTCTGATTCAAGAAGACCAGGCCGGGCCTGGGAACGAGCATTCCCAACAAGTTCACATGTGATACTGATGCTGCTGTTTGTGGACCTTACTTCCGATAGCAAGAGCTACACAACATCTCTCTGTCGACTAAAGAGAAGCAGCCCGTGGTATCACCTGCATTCCCTGGTGCTCTCAAATGTTTGCCTTTATCTTTCTTCCAGTTAAGGTGTAAGGTTTATGCATTTTAATGTGCTGGCTGCACACACATTGATTCTGCACGAGGGGGAGTAATCAAGTGCTGTCCTTGGTTCCAGGACATTTGGAGTCTGGATTTCGTTGAGAAATCAGTCAGGCCCAGACTGACATGCAACCCACCCCTCTTTGTGTGCATGCGTAGGCAGCTTGCTTCACCCCAGTGAGCCTCAGAGAACGTGCATAACAATTTCTATGTCCCAAGATCGCTGGGTGTCATGAATGAGATAATGCACCATGCCCGACACAGAGTAAGTTCTCAGTACGTGCTAGTCACTGTGATCTTTGTTTTTGTTACTATTATTTTCAGTATTTATGGGCAGGTACTATCTGTCCATCATTGAGATCCCATTGGAAGAGCATACAAGGAGAAAGATCTTCAAATTTGAGCAAAGTTCGCCCTGACTGCAAATCTCTTGCTAATACCCCTATAGACTGCCTTGGAATATGAATAGTTTGGTGACAGCAGACAAGGGGCATAAAATGATAAAATGTTGCATTGGAAGAAGGAATGTTTTATTTAAATGCATTTTAACAAAAAGCTAACATTATTGAGCTGGCCTGTAGCCCTCTTCAAGATAATGTCTCCTAGGAGACGTTATGTATATAAAATATCTCAAGCTTATGAAAGCTAGACTGGTTTCTTTCTTTCCTATATTGTCTTAGAATCCAAGGGGACTTGATTATAATAGACAGTGAGGGTTCTAAGAATGAGCGACAGAGGATCATGACAACCTGGAAGCTTTAACTTTAGCATCCCTAACCCCAACCTGTACCCTGGACCACCTCTGACCAGTGCTCCTTCAAGCCAGCTTGCTGCCCACTCAGCCCAGAGGCCATTTAACTCCTCTCCATCTGGCAACTGCTCATTTTCAAAGCTCCCATTCCCTGCTCACCACTGACTGCCCCTTCCTGGGCTCACCCCGAGCACTTGGCATGCCAGTCCAGCCTGCTCTGCTTTGGGTTCAAGTTTGCATTTTATGTGTCTCTTCCCTCCCCCATGCTCTTCCCTCCACTCTGCCCCTTCACAGTGTCCAGCATTTGGTAAAGAACAGCCTTAAAAACTGAAGTCAAATCCTGGGAGATGGGAAGGGACATCCTGGGAGGCATCACTCACCCCCAGGTAACTCAACTGCCTGCAAGTCCCACCATCTCAGAGAAGGATGGGGCAGATAAGGTGCATTGGAACAGAGGGGGTACAAGGAAGGGCTGATGCTTCCTTTGGTCTCAGCAAAACCAGAGGCCCCAACACACCTCTTACATTGTCCCCGGTGATCAGCTTCCGGCTTGGGATGTCAAAATGGAAAAGGAAAACACCAGAAAGGACATGCTCATGCTTCTCCCACCTGTGGGGCCCTCCTTCCTTCTCTCAGCCCATCCAAATTCCACGCACCCTTCCAGGGCCAGCTCACACTCCCTCTCTGAAGGCGGAGGGACTTCTTTCCCTGCTCTAGCAACACTCAGAGCCAGAATCGCCAGACCCCCAAATTCCTTCTTTTCTAAATGTTTGCTCTGCGTCAAACCTTTCCTCCCCTAGGACCGTGGCAAGGAACTTACGGAGAGGAAAATCAAACCCATCTTACAATCCCACAGCACTGTGTACAAGGAGGACCTGTGGGCTGGGTGGGGACAATGGTGAGAAGCCACGATTCTTGGATTCTAAGAGTTCGTAAGTTCAAGTTTCAGAGATTCCACAACTCTTAGAGTCCACAATTCTAAATTCTTAAGTGATTTTATGATGTCATCAGCCTTGGGCTTTCTAAGATCCTGAGTTTCCATGAAGTCCTAAGCTTGGCAGTGTAGACCCCATAGTCTCAAACACTTCAGGGTCTGAGAACTCTCTGCTTTGTGACTGAGAACTGGACAGACTCAGGGTGGTGGCGGCTCCCAGACCCATCTAGACCTGGAGCACGAGCTGCTACCCTGCAGAGGCTGGTCAGCCCGGCTCCATGCCGCAGACCCAGGGCCCTCACTCAAGGAGGCTCTGCCTCATCCTGGGGCTCCCCAGCTGGCCTGGTCCCTGCCTATTCCCCCAAACCCTGACTCCTTGGGTCCTAGAGGCTTCCCAAACCCTGACAGACACTGCTGGGGAAGAGACAGAGGCAGCTGCACACAGAAGGTGGCTCGAGGGACAGGGGAGTGTTCTTGGCCACAGGGTTCTGGGATCTCCCTCTTGATGTCAGAAAATCCCAGGTCTCCAGGATCTCAGGATCTACTCCAGAAGAGGTGATAGCACAACTTTTATGGAGGAGAGTGGAGGAAAGAGGCGGGCACAGAGCCCAGGAGGGATTTCCCAGGAGTGCCATTTGATTCTCAGGCTCAAGGACTGGGTGGCCTTTTCCTGAGGCAGCCTCTCCATCCACTCTAGGAAGTGCTCAGGTGCTCCCCTGGCTCCTATTGGCTCCGCTGCTCACCATGGAGACAGCTCCACCAATGGCCGTGGCTGCTGGACTGAGTCCATGCTCCTACACCCCGCCCCCACAGGTGCACGAACTGGCAAACTTGCTGTACCCACGGGCGTGGGGCAGAGCACTGTCAGGCTGCACACAGGGAAGGCGACCGAATAGCCTTAGGCTCTGCTTCCTCAGTGGGACTGCTCTACTCCTCCAGCTCTGGGAAGGAGAGAGATGCCAGGGGAGTGGGAGGAGAGAAAGAGGAGTATTTATTTATATATCTCTATGTATGTATGTATGTATGTGTATATGTGTCTATCTAATCTTTCTATCTACGGAGACTTAAACACCCACAAAGAGACAAAAGCACACACATGGGTAAACAGACAGACTGAGTTAGATCACATCTGGTTCAGCGATACAGAAAAGCACATGGCAGGGAGGGAGAGAGGGAAGGAGAGACATACACCCCACAGCCTCGGCCTCAAACCCAGACCACTGGCGGCAGAGTTCTCAGGCATGAAGCCAAGTCTTACCTGAATCCTTTGTCTAGGGGGATGCACTTGGCCTCATGCTGACAGAGGTTCATCTCGGGCACACAGTGGTCGATCACCTCATCACACAGCTCACCTGGCAGGGACAGGGGTAGAGATGTCAGGCCTCAGAGCGGGCACTGGGGGGGACACCCTGGCGGGATCAGACTCATCCAGCCTGGTCTGGAGGTCACGGATGCCAGGTGTGCTGCCTTCTCTGTCTGCAGAGGCTTCCTCCTACACCTCTGCCTGGTTTGCTTAGCACTGACAGTGGGGAGGGGGCAGGATTTCTCCCCGGCACTGCCATAGCACCTTTGGCTGTTTCACTGGCTCATTCAGGGCCAGCTGCAGCTGAAAGCACAGGATCCGAGACCCTGACCTTGGGCTATGCTTATTCATTTGTTTTTTTCATTCCACACCTATTTATTGAACACCTTTAGAATGGGAGGCACTGTGCCAAGCGCTGGGGCCACAACAGTGACCCAGTCCTGTCCTCCCCCGTAGCCTGGTTGGGGAGATCTGCAAAGGAGCAGGCAGTGGTAACACAGGGTTGTAAGTGCAGCCAAAGGGGGAGCTCTGTGGAGCACAAAGGGAGGTACCCAGAAGCTTCCCCAGGAGGTCAGGGGAGGCTTCACGGAGGAGCGGACAAGGCTTAGCTGCATAGTTCACCTGCAAGAGATCAGCGAGCCTTTGGATTTTTTAGGGAAGGAAATGTGAAAGGAATTTGAAGTTCTAGTCTTTAGATGCATTGCCTTTGAAGTTCATGGTGCTACTAAATGCCTAACAGAGTCTTAAATACCCAGGGATGGCCCTTGCGATAAGCCTGAAATGCTCATACCACCTGAAAATGTGCTTTAGGAATGTGGGGGGAGGTAACAGCAGAGTTTTAAGATCTGAGTTTTGGGTTTACTTAAATTCCACCCTGTCAAGCCATGTGGAGCATGATCTAAGACAGTGGAACTTCTGATCGTGGGCGTGCTCTCCAGGTGTGGGGAGGGGCAGGTGGAGGCGGCCTCCCGGCCCGCTGCTCCAGAAGACAGGCAGAGAGAGGTCCGGAGGGCTGGATGGGTAGGACCGAATGACAGACGCAGCCACCAAGTCTGTTCTCTGCTGCGGTGGGGACAAGCTGACCCCTACCCTGTCCTGGGAGGGGGCCCTAAACCCCTCCTGTCCACATTCTGCCCTCGGCCTCTCAGGACCACAGAGGGCACTGTGTTCTTACAAGCCTCCTCCTCTTCCTCCTCACCTGGAGAGACCCAGAGAGGCAGACAAGTGTCTATGTGGGACTTGGACGTGTTCTGGGATGGAGAAAACCAGAACGCCCCACTCTCGGCAGCAAAGCGCCACAAAGCAGAAGTGCAGCCCGGTCAACTGCAGACACTGGGCAGGCCTCGGCAGGGGCAGGAAACCATCTCCTCAGTTCAAGCCCCTCCTCTGCCACAAAGCCTGTTTTGACGCCCTCTACCCTCCCCCCTTCTTTACCCCCTTTTTTACTCTCTCTTTTCTGGCTCAAAGCAGATTCTTCTGGACCCAGGATTTAACTCTACATAGTGATTCCCTTCTGGTAGACCAGAAGCCCCTTGTGAGCTGAGCGCATACTTTAGTGTTCTTGGTATCCCTAGTGGCTAATTCAGTGCTCTGCATACAGCAGGTGCACAATAAGTGCTGCCTGTTGCTAATGCAACTTTTGGCTACAACTCCACTCTCAGAAGATAGAGGGCATAAGGGAGGTAAACCCTTGGCAGGTTTATATGCACCTTCTCCCAGCACAAGGGCTCGTCTGGGGTGCCAGGAGGCCCGGACAAGCAGAGCAGGTGGCCGTCTCAGTTGGCCATGGCACATTGCAGCAGTCCCAAGAGTGTGCTTGGGGATACCTGGTTCTTGGGCTTTAGGCTTGACAAGGCACAGGATCTTGGGGCCAACGGGAATGACTCAGCTTGTCTCTGCACTCCTCGTCTTCCCTGTATCCTCACCTCCCACCACACTCTTGACACCAAAGCCAGGTTCCAGCAGGCTGGGGTGTGGACGTCCCTGAGCTGCCACTGTCCTCATTGTCCCCTTGCCTTAGGCTAGTACTTCCTAAAATATGTTCCCTGCAACACAAGATCCCTGGTTGGTAATGGTGTTCCAGGGTGGGGAAAAGAGGGAAGCTCCGAGATCAAATACGTTTGGGAACTGCTGGGTTAACGTAAACAGCTTTCTTTAAAGCAGTTTAAAGCAGGAATTTTTAGAAGCTCTAATATATAATTTGTATCACGGAGTGCCAAGAACAGGGTTATTATTACATGCAGTACTTCCCAAACTTCTCTGCCCGTGGGGCCTTTTCTTCAAATAACTCATGAAATTTATGCAAGTGCAGTCTGGGATATGCCACTTTAGGTTGATCTCATAACGGAGTAGGCTGTGCTCGCACCAGTCAGTGCCATTTTGCTTCACAATCTAATGGTATATATTTAACTGTCCTTATTAGGGGCTAATATAGGAAATAAAGGCATTATGCTGTGGGGATGGGTGGGCAGAGTGATATTCCTTGGGAATAACCTTTTGTAGGAAGCCTTCTTATACCCCCAGCTGGGTCAGCTTCCTTCTCTGCGAGCTCACAACCCCCAGGCTCACAGGTGTGTGTTTTTGTTCTATTGAATCCATGTCTCTCTCTATTCGACTTTGAGCTTCTTACGAGAAGTTGGTCTTGCTCATTTTTGTCTCCCCAGCTCCTAGCAGAGTATCTAGAAAATGCAGATTTCCAGAGATGGCTGCCTAGACCTGAACAAAGTGTAAACACAATGCAAGTGCCTCTCTGCCAGCCTCAAACACCACTGGGTCTCCAGCGTCCCTAAAGGAGGGGACGGCCATCAAAGGAATGAATGGACTGGGAACCGGTTTCAAAGCGGGAAGGGGTGAGTGATCTGCTGGCTACTGGCAGGGGGTGGGGTGGGGACGGGCAAGCAAACAAACAGATAGGGGCTTTGGGGAGCCCCCTCATGGCACAGCAGGGTCTTGGGAGAAAGGAAGAAGCTAAGCAAATGGCATATTCTAGTGACATCCCCCACCCCGCCCCACCCGTGTACCCGCCCCCGCATCACGAGGTCCTCACCTGTGTAGTTGGGGGGGCAGACGCACACGTAGTTGTTGATCCCATCCACACACGTGGCGTTGTTTTCGCAGTCGTTGTCCTCACAGTCATCTGGGTTGATCTCGCACCGCTGCCCCTCGAAGCCCAGGGGACAGGAGCAGCTTTGGGGACATGTGGGGTGGGGAGGAGGGGAGCCAGGGGTCGGGCAGTGGGTGGGGTGGGTGGCAGAGAGAAAGGTAGGGGCAGACACACAGTTAGCCAGGTTTCTCCCGTGGACGGAGGTCCGAGACTGCACTCTGGACACAGGAAGCCTTAGTGTCCTGGGCAGGAAGACCCTTGGGAGCCTGCAAGGTCATTGCATCTGGCCCTGTCTCCACCCGATGCTGTCTCTCCCCCGGCCCTGGCTGCCTCGCCAGGGGGCCGATTCCCACCAGCAAAGCTGCCTTCACCACTCCCCTCCACCCCAGTTGGAAGTGGTTTTTTGAATATGGCTTGAATTCCTTCAGCTGTCTCCTAAACTGCCCTCCCTTCGGCTCCTCTGTGGTGCAGTCTCTTTTATAGACAAGGAGAGAGAGTGTAACCAACATCCCCCTTTTAGGGATTTTTTTCCCTCTAAGGCAGCCTTTCTATCTCTGGGAGTTGGGGTGGGTTTAGCACAGTGGCCAGGATCCCGGACTCTGCACCCGGCTTCCTGGGAATGAAGTCTAGTCTGCTGCTTCCTGGCTGTTTGACCCCAGGTGGTCTTGGAGATTAAATGAGATGATACAAGCAAAACACTAGGAGGGCACATCACGTATGGGAAACGCTCAGAACCCATCATCAGCTGGTTTAAGTTCTAGAAAAATCCATGCCACCTCCTAACCCTCCACCGGGGATGCCGCTTCTCCCTGTCACGTGCTCCTGCCACTTCTGAGCCCCTCCAGCCCTGGGCGGTGAGGGGTGGAGCAGCAGGACCCCTCTCCTGCCAAGGCTGAGGCCTTCACTCGAGCTTGGCTTCAAATGCCGTAAGTCAGCAGGATGAGTTTCTGTCCCTTGTCTCTGGAGCAGGTGTCCTCAAACTGCGGCCCTTGGGCCACATGCGGCCCGCTGAGGACATTTATCTGGCCCACCCAGTGTTTCTGCCACCGCTGCCTGTCCTGCTTAGCAGCCGACTCGTCCCGGGCCCACACTGCGCATGCGTGGAATGTGAGCCTTGCGCTCCAACAGTCGGAGGGACAGTGAACTGGCCCCTGTTTAAAAAGTTCGAGCACCCCTGCTCTGAAGTGTTAAATCTCCTGGATAAAAACCTCAACTGCCCTCACCCCTGCCTGACCCTGTTCCCGTCCCTAGAACTGGGCACGAAAAGTGAGTCCGAGCAGATGATGCGGGGCAGGGGTGCGTGGGGAGCATGCGTCTGATTGAATAAACGCCACGTGGATCTTGCTTTTTCTGCAGCCCGGCCTTCCCATCAGGGATTTTCACCCCATCCGTGGGGGTGCTCCGGCTTCCCACCGGGAACCCTAGGCCTCTCCTCCAGAGACTGCCGTGATTCGGGATTTAGCTGAAAAAGTAAACTAAACTAACAGGAAGTGAATTTCAGGGGCCCAGGATCCTGCTTAGCCTCCTTTCCTCTGATTCTTAAAGACCCCACACACTTGCTATGAAAGGCCGGGGCTTCTTGGGCCTGAGCGCTTGGGGTACAGCAAAAGGACTCCCATTCCTTTTTTTCTGTTAGGGACCTGGGTCGTTCGTGAAAAAAGCCGCTTTTCAGAGCCAGACAGAGGGTAGGTTTTCAGAAGTCTGAAAACCAAGCATCCCGTCCCTCGCCCACCTGCCAGGTGCTGGCCTGACATGGAACTTTCCTACTCCTGCGAGTACAGGCAACCTGTCCTCCCCAGTGTTTGCCTCGCTGCCTTAACCTCCCCCCCCAATTTCCCTAATCCTGCAGTTGTGTGCATTTTCCTTTAAATAAAGTTCTAAAAATGTGCCCAGTTCATTTGAAACTCCTCCATGACTGAGGATGGAAAGGAGATACTTCTGCTCACCTGCGCCTCCTCGAAGAGGGGAGAACCAGCCACCTGCAGGGGAAGCTCTTGCCTGCCCCAACCCCCCGCCCCACTCCCAGGTGGGGCAGAACCATGCTTTCCGCCCCCGAGGCGTACTTCTTGGCTGGGACCCTGTGGCCGCCTCTGAGAGATAGATTTCCCTGCTCATTCCTGCTCTGGCCAGAGTGGGTGGGAGTGGGTGGTTTGGCCGCCTCCAGGCAGGAAAAGGAACTGTGCCTTGAATTTCACTTTCCAAGAGTCAGAGTTTGACAGCGCTGGCTTGGCAGGTGGACATGTGGGCCGGCTGGGTTCCCTGGGGAGGGGAACCGGGAGCCCAGAACTTGATTTCTTCCACAGACCACACAGCAGCCTCTGGCCAGAGTGCTTCTGATCATTAATCGTTTGCAACTTGAGCTCTGAGACATCCGCACAGAGCTTGGCACCGGGCGCCCCGGCCTTCGCTGCCACCCACCCCCCAGCTCACTAGAGGTGCCAAAGAAGCCCATTCCCGACAGTCTGCTTTTGCCAGGGCCGTAGGGCAGGGCAACTGGGCATCTGAAAGTTTCTGGGGAAGGTGGGAGGTAGGAAGGGGCCTGAGGTTTGGGGGGAGGCCTAATCCCACTCCCAAGACAGGGATGAGAAAAACTTCAGTGGCTTCTCTCCCCTGTTCTTCCTGAAATCTTAGTGCCAGGGAGGAAACAGGGCGGAGGTGGGGCCGGAAGATCCCAGGGGAATAAGCATCAGGTCGTGTGACCTAGAGCAAGTCAATCTCTGCACCTCAGTTTCCTCATCTGTTCAGTGGGGGGTAATATCCACCTAGCAGGCAGGATTGTGGGAGGATTTAAATCAGGTAATGCGTGACTAGTCAGCGCCTGGGGCATAGTGAGCACATAATCGATGCCACCTGGTATCGACACAATTATAACACAGAGAGTGGTGGAATGCCAGGCTGGCGGTCTTTGAGCTGACATCCCATCCTTCTCTGACTTTACCCAGCTGCTGCGGCCTCCCTTGGAGGAGACAGGGGTGTATCTGGATTCAATCCCCCCACCCCGTGCCAATGCTGACGAGCTGTGCAACTCTGGGCAAGGGTTATCCCTCAGATGCGTCTATTTGTCCATCCGTAAAGCGGGCTCAACCGTACTTCCCGCAAGAGATCGCCCTCATAAGGGGCTGGGCGTGGTGCGACACAGAGTGGCTCTCAGGGGACGCGGTTCTGCTTCCCCAGGCTGCCCCAGGAGTGTGCCCAGCAAGCCCTCTGCAGTGAGCGGTGGCCCGGCTGAGTTGTTACCTGAACCCGTCCTTGTGGCCGTCACTCAGGTGGCAGGTGCCGCCATGCAGACAGGGGTTCTGGACGCAGGTGTTGATGGGCACGGTGCAGTCCTTGCCCTGAGGAGCAGAAGAGGCAGAAGGGCCGGTTAGGGAGGCCTCTCGTGGCTGCCGAGGCCAAGGAGACCCCTGGGGTGAAGCTGGGCAGCTGGCTGCAGGGCGGCCCTGGGACAAGCCCACTGCGTGACTTGGGGAGAGCCGCAGGGAGCCCTGGTCTCTAGGCACGCCGCAGCGGGCAGGGGAGCACTGTTGAGAACTCGGGTTTTCCGCTCCAGCTTCACTTGCTTCTCAGAATTCACACCCTTCCCCATCCTAAACTGCAGGGCAAGAACGTGGGCTTTGGATTCAGGCAAAGCTGAATCCAGCTCCATCTCTTTTGGGTTGGCTGACCATGACCTTGCAAAAGCCTTTTGACCTCTCCAAGCCTACGTCATGAAGCTGTGATGAGGATCACACTAGAGCTTTCCCATGGGGAATGCTGCACATTGTGTATCCTACTGATGCAGTTTGGATGCTTGTCCCTCCAAACCTCATGTTGAAAAGTGATCCCCAATGTTGGAGGTGGGGCCTGTAGCTCAGGGTGTCCGGGTCATGGGGCAGATCCCCCATTGCATCTAGCCTCATGAATGGCTTCGTGCTGTCCTTAAGGCAAGAGTGAGTTCTCCCACTATTAGTTCCCGAAAGAGCTGACAGCTGCAAAGAGCCTGGCACCTCCCTCCCCTCTCTTCTTCCTCTCTTGCTGTGTCATGGGGCTTCCCTTCACCTTCGCCCATGAGTAGAAGCTTCTGGAAACCCTCACCAGAAGCAGATGCTGGTGTCATGCTTCTTATACAGCCTGAAGAACCACAGAGCTAAATAAACCTCTTTTCTTCATAAATTACCCAGCCTCAGGTGTTCATTTACAGCAATGCAAACGGGCTGTGGCACCCACCTGGCACACGGAATGCATTCTACAGGTGCTAGTAGATGATATTACTATTAGCCTCCCTGAAGCTGAAATACAATCCATGACTTGAGTAGGGTGGACTGAGGCTGAAGTGTGGCCAGCAGACCTTATCTCCTGTGACATCCCCCGCAGAGATCCACCCTTGCATGGTCTGGGGTGGGTCCAGGCATTGGCATTTACTCTGAAGCTCTGCAGGGGAGTCCCTGTTAGGCCAGGTTGGGAGCCCCTGTGATGGGGAATTTTAGGTGGGATGAGGTTCCTTTGGAGCAGGGCCCTTGGAAGGGGACATGTGAGTTGAGAAGGAGCCAACCTTCTCAGGTTGGCTGGGGAGCATGTCAGGCAGAAGGAATGGAGAGGGCAAAGGCACTGAGGCAGTGCCCCAGGGCAGAGACTGGATGGCCTGAGTCCCAGGCAGTAGCCCAACTCTTCTTGGCCTTCTGGCTCCTGCTTGTCTCCTGGACTGATGGACCAGGGCTGCACCCAAGGCCTGGCAAGCAGTCCCGCGCAGGACCTGGTGGTGTGGGGTCTGCAGAAGCATTTGCTGCGTTCCTTTCTGGGCCTCGGGTTCGGGGCCTTGGGCACAGGCCAGGTGGGGGTGATCACGGGAGCCTGCCCACTGCCACACCACCTGCTCGCCATCTGCCCGAGCAAACCCTCTTCCCTACGCTGCGGCTGCCAGTGCCCGTGACGGAATGGGACTGGGGCTTCCTGGCTGCCCTGTCGCTGCCAACTGGGCCGGTGGCCTTGGGCACAGCACAGCCTTCGCCGTGGACTCTCTCAAAAGCCGGAGCCTCAGGCCTCGTCTTGGCCAGCCGGAAGGCGCAGGCTGTGTCTGCCTGGTTCTCCCAATGCTCCATCACAGCTAAGGGGCCAGAGAGAGGTTTCTCGAAGAGGGGAGAGAGAGCGTAGGCCCAGGGCCTCCTTCTCAAGGGCCGTGTGCAGGGTGGAAACCGTAGTGCTAATTCTCACTCGCATTACTGAGCACATTTTCCATTCCAGGCCTCATGCTAAGTGTTTTATATTCATGAGAGCATATAATGTTCACAACAGCCCTGTGAGGTTGGTACGATTGTTATTACACTCGTTTTCCCAGACAGGGAAGACAGGCTTGGAAAGTGAGGTAATACGTCCAGGATCTCACGGCGCCAAGTGGAACGGGCAGCTGAGCGGCTGGACCCGGACATCCGAGTCCCACGCCAGCGCCAGGAGCTCTAAGTGTGCCCCTTGGTCTGCACCTTCTCGGGGGAGGCAGATTGGGGTACAAATTCCAGTTAGGCTGCTGTGTGCCTGGAGGAAATGACTACTTCTCTCTGAGCCTTGCTTTCATTCTATGAAATGGGTATAATCATACCTACCCTATGGGGAGTTAACAAATGATTAGAAATAAGAATGGAAAAGCCAGCACCACATGTACCTACCAGCAAATTGGTATTAACGGATCAACACCTAAGTGGACATATAGGAGTAACATTTATCCGGTGTCGGGAGGGTGGGAGGGGGGAGGAGGGGGTGGGTATATACAACCACAACGAGTAAGATGTGCAACGTTTGGGGGATGGATATGCTTGCAGCTCTTACTCGAGGGGGGAGGGGGGCATGGGCAATATATGTAACCTTAACACATGTACCCCCATAATACGATAAAATAAAAAAAATGATTAGAAATCACATACTGTAAGGCATCTAGCATGTAATGGCAGTTCCATCAATAACAGAGATGACGATGATGATGATGATGACGACTGGGGTCTGAGGCAGGGCTGAATGTGGGTGATTAAAATACAACTTCAGGTCTTTGGTTTGTGCCAAATAGTTCAGGAGGTCTGTGTGTGTAGCGGGGTGGTAGACAGACAGACGGACTGCGAGGGCAGGACAGGATACCCTTGCGAAGGTCCGGGCAGGGCCTCCCTAGCCCCGCCTGGGCCAGCCTCTCTGCTCTGGGGAACTCGTGAAAACCACGACTCCAGGTTGAACCCTCCTCTGAAGGTGGGGGCGGGGCCGGGGGATGGCAGTGTCTCTTCCAGTCCAGTGTGCCAAGCACAGAAATCCAGGAGGCGGATCCTAGTGCTCGATGACATGGTAATTGGGCCTGGAGGTGGAGATTTCTGTCACCTACATGTCCTTGAGAAATAATCACCATTGCCAATGCCTGGATAATTAGCCTGATTCAATTCTCTTCAGCCTCATTTTGCTCAAATCCACCAGATTTATAATGCTCCTTGGTCCTCCACTGCACTCTCCACCTCCAGGTTGTGAGTGAAGGACATGGCTGCGCCCCCTGGCTTCCTTTCAAAGAGACTGGGGACAGCTGCCCTCACTGGAATCTCTTTCTGAGATGGAGCCAGGAGAGCTGTTCTAAGACCCTGCGACTCAAAGTGCGGGTCTTGGACCAGTGGCCTTGGCTCCCCGTGGGAGCTGGTTAGAAATGCACCATCCCAGGCCTGACCTCAGATCTAATGCATCAGGAGCTGCATTTTAATAAGATCTTCAGGTGATTCTTGGGCACATGAAAGTTTGACAAGCACCGTTTCTGAGATACCGAACATATGTGCACGAAACTAAACGGCTGAAAAAGAATCAGACAACAGATACATTTTATTTCCCCAGATCTTAAAATAGCGGCAAAATAACCGCCCTTTATGAAGTAGCTGCTGAATCCTCGCTGAGGTTGGCGAAGCGCCTACATAACCCCCTTCCATCCTTACCGCAGCTCTTCACGACTATTGCCATTTACAGGTTGGGAAAATGAGGCTTAGAGAGAGAGTCTGACTTGTAAAGTGGTTAAAGGTATAGATTTCCTTGCAAGAGGTAGGTGCGTTCTGGTTTTAGCTCATGGATTTCCTAACGTGGGACGTTGGGTAAGTTATTTGATCTTAGTTTTTTCATCTATCAAAAGGGGATAATAAAACTTATTTCACAGGATGATTAAGAGTCCTACATGAGACAATGGGTTTGAACCGCTTCTCAGAGGCCTGGCACTGTAGCAGGTTAACAGTAGCTGCTACCAAACATTAAACAGTGTTTGCTATGCTTTTTTTGTAATATTGTGGCTTTCCAAGGTCACTCAGCCAGTTGATGGAAAAACTGAGATATCTGGAAACAGGGAAACAAATGCCTCAACTTTGAGCTTGGTTTTGTGGGTGTCTGGGGATTGCTGTTAACTTAATGACGCCCCCAGAACCACTGCCTCGGTCGCTCCGCCTGAGTGGGCTCTAGCCCTGGTGGGAAGGAAAGCAGGAGGAACAGACTCAGTACTTGGAGTGTGCATGTCATGCAACCCACAATTGAAGGGCCCCTTTTGTTCCCCTTGCCCATTTTACAGGTGAGGAAACTGAGGCGAGGAGCAGGGTGGGAGTTGTCCAAAGTCATGCATCAGCCAGGCACAGGCTTCAGCGGGTGTTCTTTCCACTGCCACGTTCTACATTTTTCTATCTTGGAAACTGAGCCAGGTCCCATCCTAAATGCTTAGGGGTCCTCACCCTCAGTGCCTGCAATCACTGTGCTTGCCAACGGGCAGTGAAGGCAGTGGCCGACAGCATGGGTTCTGGAAGCAGCTGGCTCTGAGCTTTGACTCTCGACTCCTTTACCTACTTTGCTCAGTGTCTTCAACTGTCAAATGAGGGTCATTTTAGGAAATGTATCCCCAGGCTTTGATAAAGAGTATGCAAAGAAATATGTGTACCTCATTTAGTGCACTGTCAGTACATAGTAGGCACTCAATACATGCTGGCTCTTAATGTTGCTGTTGTAGTCACAGTTATCATCATCATCATCATCATCATCATCACTACCATCACCTTCATCATAACCATCATCACCATCATCATCACGTACCTAAGACCTGCCTGGGCCCAGTAGTTTCTTAAAGGTCAAAATCTCTGTTCAAATGCTTCTGAAATTGACAAGATATTCAGAATCCTGGGAACAAGGTCTAAACAAATGGCCTTATCCTGCGATGGCCCTGCACATGCTGTCATTGCTCTGACAGGTTGGGCCATGGTTCATGGTGAGGTCAAGGGTAGTTGGGAGAAGCCTGGACTTCAAATTGAGCTCCATTACGTGCAGACTCAGGCCAACTTTAAAGGGAATGAAACAAGACTCAGAACGTGAAAGTTTACCTTGTCTTTAAAATAGGATTGCTACTAGCCACCTCATAAGGTGATTATGAAAATCAGAGGAGGGAATAAACACGTAAGGTCCAAATGAGTGCCTGGCCCTTATGTGGTGATTATAGTCACCAAGATGATTATACATCTACAGAACTGGGGCTGTTATAAATTTACATGTCACAGTTTCTAGGGGAACAAATAAAGTTCCTTGATAGTTCATAGCGTTATAGACTGCTAATCCCTGATGAAACCAGCAACATGCCACCTGCTACTGATGGCCTCGTCCACAACCTGGGATGAGGGCCCAGCATGCAAGGGCGACAGCAAAAGGCAGCAATATGCCAGTTTATCAGGCGCTTACTGAATGCCAGGTATGGTCCTAGGTGTGCTGCATATGTTATCGTACATTTGTTTCTCACAGCGAACCTGTGAGCAGGTCCAGGGTTGTAGACGGGAAGGCTGAGATGGTGACTGGCCGTTGCCACACAGCTAGTAAATGACAAAGCTGGATCCGAACCTGCTTCTCTGTAATCCCGCAGCCTGAGTTTTCTCCACTGAATCCACACAAGGGAGTTTCAGAGGATTCTCACCTCCTAAGTATGTCTTGATCTCTTCTCTTGCTAATAATTGTGTGTGTGTGTGTGTGTGTGTGTGTTTAGGGTGTATAGATCTGGGACTCTGTGGTAAGTTTGAGGCTTTGGGGGTGGCTGGCTTCAAAAGGAATCTCTTGTCCCAGGCCCATAGGTGGCACTCTGACACTATCTGCTAGAAGCATTGCTACAACTGCGAAAGACACCAGGTAGCCTCGTTTCCCAGAGTGAGGCCGCCTCTCTAGCCTGTCTCTACGCATACCCCATCCCACTGGGGACAGAGACCCACCCAGACGTGCCAGCCCAGTGTCACTCAGCCTGCACCAGGAGCATGCATCAGGCTGCGGGGCTCTCTTGGAACTCGGGGCTTGCCAGCGCATTTGAGTGGGTGTCCTGGAAGGCTGGAACCTGGGAGGGTCCTGCAGAAGAGGGTGGAGCCACAGCTTGGCGGATCCCAGCCAGGCACAGCGAGGGGCTCAGCTATGCAGGAAACCCTCCCAGGGAAAAAGCTTGGGCTTTGGAATCATATGGCTCTTAATCCCAACACTACTGCTTACAAGCTTTGGACATTGAGTCAAGGCCTTTTGACAGTCGGAGGCCTAGTTTCCACAACTGGAAAATGGGAATGAATAAGACCTTCTTTAGAGGTTTTCCAGGGAGTCTAAAAAGAAAAGGGGAGTCCAATGCCAAGCACAGTGCTCAGCACATAGTCTACACTCTGTAGGTGTCATTAGAAGACACACGGTCCATACACTAGAGGTGTCAAGAGGCAGGACAATGTGCTCTGGGTGGTGCAGGGTGAGAAGAGAGCGAAAGACTGTCTTGGAATGAGCCCGGACTTGTGGGGAGCTCAGAGGGGAGAACTGGGGCCTCCATCTCCTTGCTGGCTGAACTGAGCCCGTCAACAGCATGGATGGGCTTGGTAGACCCCAGGACCTTCAACTCCTCATCCCCGTGTCCTGGCTGGTCATTCTAAGGTCACTGTTGGGCCGGGGACTCGGTTCTGGAAACCCCCTTAGAAGGGAAGTCAGGACAGTGGGTTCAAGGGATGTCTCTATTTGGAAGCACTTCTGCTCTCTGACACTTCATTTCCCATGTGTCATGAAGACAACACAAAAGTTACCTTTCCTCCGTATCTCAGGGCATCACTGTTGAGACTACCTGGGGTCATCTGTGATTGGCATGAGTGGGACATGACCAGGCAGCCCCTGACAGTTCCAAGGAGAACAGGACTGTCACTGTCAAGTGCCACTTTGGGGTGCAGTGGTTATCCAGGCTGCCCTTGGAGAAGGGAGGGTCTGCAGGGCGTGGTGCCCACCCTGGGGCACAAATCTAGGGGCTGGGGCCTCTGCCATACCTTGTAGCTGTAGGGGCAGGTGCAGCGGTACAGCTCCACGGGGTCCTGGCTGCAAGTCCCATTGTTCTTGCACGGGCTGGAGAGGCAGGCATTGCATTTGGCCACGATGTTGATGTCCACTGGCCCTGGGGGGCAAAACCACAGAGTGCTGATGGCAGGTCCCAAGTGCACTCACAGTTGTACCTCCTTTCCTCTGCTCTGGTCCCTTCCAGCAGCTGCGAGCCCCTCCCCATCTCCATGCCCAGATGGCAGCCTGCTCTCCCCAGCCAGCACATCCAGTCCAGCTAGAGTCCCATTAATTCAGCCATTGTCCAGTGAGGAAAAATCACAGTGGGACATCATTCAGAAGTACTTCTGCAGTCAAATCAATTACTGTAATTAGCCTGATCCGATTTTGGTGCTAATCCGCAAACAATGCACCATAATTAGAAACCCCCTGTGTATCTCTTTTCATATTCCGGGAAGCTCTGAGCCCAGGCTCCATTCGGACCTCCCATTTCTCTGCCCCAAACACCCCTTCCCATGGAATAGTCTGTGCCAGGCTGCAGAGGGGACAACGCTTGGTCCAAAGGCATATATAGATGTCCTCCCTGCAAAGTCCTGGAGATAAGAAACGGATGGCCCCAGAGGACACAGCAGTGATGCTGACGATGGATGGCAAACTGTGCTCAGGTACACTTGCCTCCGTGATAGTGCCACCTGTGTCCTGCTTTCTTTAGCTGTGAGGGCTGGAGGGAGGTCATGGTCCCCACACAGAGCTTTGCAAAGGGGACTGTGTCCTGCTGTTGCAGCCAGCTTTGACAATGACAATGAGCCCTGGATAAACAGGCCCTACTTAATGTCCAGCCTGCAAATGATCCCGAGACTAGCAGCCATCCACCGGGAGATGGGTTGAGATGAACTCCGGTGAGTGACCATTTGTGGGCGGGCGAACGGGTCTGGTTGCGAACCTGTACCAGGAGCTCAGGTCTGCTGCACGTTAGAATGGGGAGACAATCTGTCCCCCTTTGCCTGGGGCTGAGGGGGTTCCTGGGACACAGAGCTTTCAGTGCTAAAACCAGGAAGGTCCCAGACAAACCCAGGACAAGTTGGTCGCCTTATACTAGAGCCAGCTGTGGGGCTTTCAGCAACCCCCACACCCAGGTTGTACTCTAGGCCAGTTGAATCAGAACCTAGTGGTTGGACCCAGGCACCAGTAACTCTTGAAGACCTTCAGGTGATTTCCAAAATGTGAGGCCAAGATAGAAAGCCACACTATTCTAGGCCCAGGTGGGCCTCTTTAGTGTCAGATTAGATATCTTGGAAGCAGGAGGAGGAAAATTAAAATTAGCTTTAAACCGATGGAATCTTTTTCTGCTTTCAGCAGAAGTATGGGACACACTCAGGTTTTAGAGGGTAAAGCATGTCTATAAATCAAGATTAACATTAAGGCTGTAAGAGATGAGCAAAGGACATTAACAAACAAATGTGTAATCCAAATGAAAACTAAATTTTTGACAAAATAATTCAGGTTCCCCAATAATTGAAGACAAAATAAAAGGAGACATTTTAAAAAATCTATCGAATTAGTAATGATTACAAAATAAGAGAAAATAATGACAGAGTCTAATGAAAAAGGCACTCAAAAGGTGCTATTGGGGATGTAAATTTGTTATAATCTGTTTTGGAAATCGATTTGGTAATATGCGTGAAGGCCTTAACAATGATCGTATATTTTGACCCAGTACTTTCTCTGAATCTTATCTAAGGACGTGATTTCAAATAGAGAAAGATCTTCATGCATCAATGGTGAGAAAAAAAGAAAATAAAGATTCAAAACAAGAAACTGATAAAGCAAGTTGTGGAATATGACAGCGTGGTGGTCAAGACCATGTATTCTGGGATCAGAAAGGCCTGGAATCCTCCCAACAGAGTCATCTTAATAAGTCATTTAACCTGATCAAGCCCCAGTTTTCTCATTTTTAAAGATGAGGGTAATATTAAAATGTACCCCATACCAGTATTAGAGAGTAAAATAAAATAATACCTGAAAAATGCTTAACATAGTTCCTGTTGCATAAGAACTCCATAGTAGTTTGTTATAATAATGATGCAATCGATAAAAATCACATGTACAAAGAGTTTGTTATAGTAAAATGGGGAAATGCTTGTACTCTAGTAAATGTTCAGTAAAAATGCAGATGAAAGATTTCCTTAACCATGGAAAGAAATGTATAGAAAGCAGGCAGTGAGGAGATGTGACAAATGCTGCCAAGGGACTTGGTAAGGAGAGTGACACATGGACTCTTAGACGTGGGTCCACATTGGTCTCAGCATTGGAGTCTCTTTGTCTGACCCATGGAAGAGACAGGGTGATGGTTTTAGAAGCCACACCTGCTGAAGACGCCCGCTTTGACAGGCTGTTGGAAACAGAGCAGACCCCACGAGGGGCAGAGAAGGGTGGGTGGGAGCGGCACCTACCTTTGCACTGGAATCGGTGGGTGGGGGTGGTGAGCAGGAGCCTGTCGGCCATGGGCTCGGGGCTACTGCAGCGGGCGATGCCAGGCTCCTTGTACCCGGCCTTCACCCACTCCGACAGCCACCGCAGACTGCAGTCACAGTGGAGTGGGTTGGTTCCCAGGGCCCTAGGAGGCAGAACAGGAATTCAGGGCCCTCTGCCCAGCTTGACTCCTAGGCTCTATACTCCAGACTTTGGCTAGATTGGGGGTGTCTGATGTGGGGACCAGAGGAGAAGTAGCCTCCACTGGGGCAAGGTCAATGTCTCAGAGTATATTTCCAATCTTGTAGATGTTTCACCTCCTCCCACCAAGCCCCGCCCACTTTGGAGGCGTGGCTCTCACCCACCCTGGTAAGAGTCAATCAACCCTGTCCCAGCCTCTCTAGGGTCTAGGGAACTTCCTAGAACTCTGGCTGTCTGATTGGCTGTCATGCCCAACTGAAGGGTCTACTGGAGGATGTACTCTGCAGAGAAGGTTCTAGTACCCAGCAGCCTAGGAAGCAGCTTCAGAGCACTCAGCTTGAAACTGCAGGGGAGGAGGGGCAGGTTCAGTGCAGACATCTCCAAAGTGGTATCCAGAAAGAAAATACTAGAACCCCTGTTTTTAAATACACACACACACACATATGTGTGTATATATCTTTTAACATTTCTATTTTTGAATGTTTTATAATATACATATATATCAGTATGATAGTACATGCACACAATATGAAAATAATTAAATATATACATAGGAATACAAAATCAAAAAATTTCACTGATATAGGTATATAATTTTTAAAAAAGTAGAGCTCCCTGATCTAGAGAAGAGAGGTCTGACTTAGGAGTTAGGGAACCTGGGTTATTGTCCCCTGTCTCACTGACTTGATAGTGACTTTCAGCTAGTCACCTAATACTCATGGGCCTCAGTTTTCCCTGTATACAGTAAGAAGGGAATACCTGATGCAGACAGTGGAGTGGTTAAGAATACATACTTTAGAGTCAAGGCAAACTGAGATTTGAACCAGGACTCTACCGCTTACTAGCTGTGCAACTCTTAGACAAATTCTTTAACATTTCTCAGTTTCAATTTCATGGTGTATAGTAAGGGGATAAAAATGCCTTATTGCTCTAAGAAATAAATGAGAGAATTCATCTAAAGTGTTTAGCACATAGTTAAGTGTTTTCTGTTGATTCTTTTTTTTTTTTTTTTTTTGAGACAGTGTCTCGCTTTGTTGCCCAGGCTAGAGTGAGTGCCATGGCGTCAGCCTAGCTCACAGCAACCTCAAACTCCTGGGCTCAAGCAATCCTCCTGCCTCAGCCTCCGGAGTAGCTGGGACTACAGGCATGCGCCACCATGCCTGGCTAATTTTTTTTCTATATATATTAGTTGGCCAATTAATTTCTTTCTATTTATAGTAGAGACGGGGTCTCGCTCTTGCTCAGGCTGGTTTCAAACTCCTGACCTCGAGCAATCCGCCCGCCTCGGCCTCCCAGAGTGCTAGGATTACAGGCGTGAGCCACTGTGCCCGGCCTCTGTTGATTCTTATTAAAGAATCTTATTCTTATAAGAATTCTTATTCTTATTATATTTCCATTGTTTACTCGATCGAAATGCCTTTGAAGGCAGCTGAGGCTGAGAACAAGGCAATGTGCACAGGCTGGGTACGCTGTAGTAAAATACACCGTACGTAAGAACACACACCAGAAGGGTAACAGTGGTGACACCGTCCCTGACACTGTCATGCTTTCCTGTTTCGAATGCACATTGTGGAGAAATACAGCTACTTACAGATGGGAAAGAGATGTGAGGTCGTTGAAGGAGCCTTCGGGGACGCTGGAAATGTCGTTGCCATGGAGGGTTCTGAAGCGGAAGGCACAAGCCAGAAGGTCAGCACCCAGGAACAACTCTGAACTCGCACACCCTCTCGGCCTCCCCGCCTGGCCCAGCCACCCTTCAGTTTTACTCAGAGGCCCCCCCACCCCCCTGCTAACAGCAGCAGCTGCCGCCCCTTTGCTGGGGGTACGTAGATGTCTCTGTGCCCAGCTCAGCAGGAGGGAGGGAGGGGTAGAGGGTTTGGGGACGAAGAGGGTGGACTTTTAGATGGGATAGACTTGGGATGGAATCAGAAATCAATCCGTTTTAGCTGTGGAACTTTGCATAAGTTACGTATACTTCTCTTGGCCTCTGTTTTTGCATCTGAAAAATGGGAAAGCATGTCTACCCAGTGGAGTCCCTGGAGCTTCAGAGGCCACGTGGACAACTGTGATTAAGACCACACGTTCTGCGGCTGGCCTGTGTGCATTCAAACCCTGACTTTGCCACCTGCCAGCTGTGTGACTGTGGGTAAAGTGACTTACCGTCTCTGTGCCTCAGTTTCTATTGTAAAATGGGGATAAAATGAAAAGTTTTGCCACAGGAGGTTATGGTTGCATTAATCCGCATAGAGAGAGCTGGCATTTTCAAAGTGCTAAGTGATTAACCATTATTAATATTGGTGAAAGGGTTTTGAAGGATATCTAGTATTGATGAAGGAATTCAATAAATGAGCTCCCTTTGTATTTACCTAAGGAGATTTTTAGGTGCATTGAGAAATGCTATCAATCCCAGGTTAGGGGACAGAGGGAGGGGGTACTCAGCTTCCGAGTAGATTCCCTGGGGCCAGACCCTTATCTTCACGGGGAGGGGGTTTGGCATCAGCCACACACATGCACGGGTCTGGCACTTGTGTGCACCTGAGGCCATCTCCTGACAGCACGTCCAAAGAGCCAGGCGACCCGCTTGGTATGAGTCGCGTCTCTCTCCACCTTGTGGTGTAGGCAGCTAGGAGCTCTTCCTACTTGCAAAAGGGTGCGGTATACTAATCCTCCAGCAAATGCCTGGAGGGTAAGCCCGTGAAAAAAATGGAATGAACACTGCTCTGTGCTCAAGCAACAACGCGAGCAAATCCACAGTTCATGGATTACATCCTCCATCAAAGGATTAATCAACTGCATTAAAAAAATCCCCAAATTGATGACTCGCTTTGGGTCTGGCCTGTGAAATGCAAGGTGAGGGAAATTCATAGGAACTGGAAGGCTTCTCCAGTGACTGATGGGCACCTCCACCTGTGCTCACCAGCCCCCTTAAGGATAAGGACTAGCAACTTTATCTCGGGCAGAGAGCCCTAGCGAAACAAAGAGATGATTAGCATTGAGGATGCAAGTATAAACAGAACAATAACTAAGGAATTTGCTCTTTTTTTTTTTTTTCTGCTGTGGTTTTCGTGTGCTGTGTCTTTTGCTGTGATCTAGAGACGTGCTTTTTTTTACTCTCTATTATAGCAGGGGGTCTCTCATAGTGAGTGAACTTTGGAAGCTAGTAACTTGCAAATCCCTGAACCTGCTTCCCAGAGAGTCTGGTTTAGCGGGTCTGGGGTGGGCCTGGGACTCTGCATTTCCAACAGGCTCCTGGGTGCTGCTGATGCTGCCGCAGTAGCAAGAATTTAGAAAGGGGTCTCCTATTGCTCTAAGGCCAGGGCCTCATGTCCTCGTGGCTGCACTCTGTTGTCACCCTCATCACCAGCAGCTCCTCTTCCTCCCTCCTTACAAGTTCTTCGTGAAATTCTCAGGGTGAAAGTCATCCTCCCTTCTTAGGCCGCTGGGACAGCAGGAAGGAGTGAGATGCACTTCCAAACACTTCTATCAGCATCATTCAGTCTCTAATTCCTGAGGTTATTTATGAATCACACCAGCCCCTGCCTGCCATGGACTTGCTTGAGTTCATGACTGCTTGCTGTTTCGCAAACGCACCCGGCACCACTGTTAATCATTTCTGCATGAAACCGCAGCCCCCCGAGAGGCACAAAGCCCTAATATAAAAACACCCAATGATCCAAAGGCACTTTTGGCATCATGACACCTACAAGTCACACTCCCGTTCATCGTGAGCGGGGCGCTGAGATCACTGTAACCTGTAGAGCAACAGAGCTGTAACTTACTAGGATAACTAAACAAATCTGCCTATGCTAAAAGTTCTTGTGCTTGGTTTGGCCCCCAAAGAAGGACTTTTGCATGTCAAACAATCGTCCTAAGGGCTGCCAGAGGAGGGGGTGAATGGGCCCTCCTGGGGAGCACTTAGCACCTACCCCTCTCCCTTACTCCTCCCAGGGGCTGGGGCTGGCAACTCACTGGACTCCCAGTGGCTCATCTTCAAGTGCTTGGAACTCCTTCTCCCCTCCTGACTCTCAGGGGACATTAAAGGCAGACTTGGGAATTTCGGAATGCAGACAGGGGTATCATTAGGGCAACATTGGGCATAACCACCTCAGTCCAGGCTGCCTGAACCTTGAGTCTCTGATTCCCTAGGTGCTCACAGTTTGTATGATGCAAAGCAGGGACTATCCTAGTCCTAAATGTGGGTGTGTGAATTCTCTTCTAAGCAGGCTGGGCCATCCCCAGGGGACCTGGGGCTTGAGAATTAAGGTTCTAGAGTCAGGATGCCTTGGTCTGAATCCGTCCTCTGTCACTCACTGGCTGTGGGGGCTGGGACAATTGACTTAGTCTTTCTGTGCCTCAGTTTTTTCATCTTAGAAACAAAGGAATTCTTACTATCCACTTGCAATAGACTTGTTTGGGGGTGTGAGTTGCTCAGCATCAGTGCTCTCTTTCTTGTAGCAGTTCCTCCCTTTTCTACTGGGGAGTCACTCCTCCCCAGCTCTTAGTCCAAGGGGTTTGGCCTCCTTAGTGGAGCCGTGACGCAGGTCTGGTCAACTGGAGTCACAGTGACTCATCTGAGGTTGAGCATGTGGCCTAAGTGGACCAAGGAGAGACATTTCTGGGGCTTTCTCTGGAATTACTAAATCAGAAGTAGTTTCCTTTCGTGGGACTGCTGAGCTGCTAGAATGTAAACATCCAGCCCATTAGGACCCTCTGTGCCTTAAGGGGAGAGAGACTGCTCTTGAAACCTACTCAGGAAAGTGGGACCGAGAGGCAGAGAGATTTTTGGCAGTGTCATTGCAACACCTGCACCCAGCCCTAGAGCCCGTTACCTGCCACTGAATTCTTCAGTTACCTAAGTCCCTGAATTCTCTTTTCATGCTTAAGGTGGCTTGTACCAATTTTCTTTCCCTTTACCCAGGGGAGATCTAGTCCACCACTTCCCCAGCTAGCTGGGAAGATAGAAAGATAGGATGCCAGGGGTTCAGGCCTGCCCGGTAAGCACTCGTTCATGCTAGCTGTGATTATTATCATGGTCCTGACTCCTCTGCATTCTTGCATGTATTTTGGGGCCAGATTTCTCAGTGTCCACATAGAGTAGAAGCCTGAAAGGATGCAGCCCGTGCGTCTCAAAGGAGCGGTGAGGGCCAGGACTTGAGTCCAGGACCGGAGAGGAGATGCACTGAATTTGCACAGGGTGGCCGCGGGCCATGGCTTTTCCCCCTGTGCCTCCCACTCCAGCCCACTCTTTCATTCTCACCATGGGCCTTTTGGAGCAGGGAAAAAAACAGCTCATTTTAAAATAGCTCCTGTCCCTCTAATTTTCAAGGAAAGTCTGCAAGATGTACGAATAGAATTGGAGGCCAACCTACGATGGGGAAGGAGGCGGGATGCATAGAAGGTTCCAGCCTTGGTTCTGCTTATGCCTCGGGGCTGTTTGGCAGCATCTCTTCCCGCCACACCTGTGGCTTCTCTTAATGTCCCAGTGCACCTGCCTTCCCTGACGTCAGGGCTCTGTCCAGGCCATTTATATTCTTTACTCCCATCCCCACTGGCTTCTGGGTCTCAGCTTTGGAAGCAAAATGGAGGAGTGATTCTGAGAGCAAACGGTTGTGTGTTCAAATGCCAACTTTGCTGTCTACTGGTTTTGTTACTTTGGGCGAGTTACTCAATCTTGCTCAGCCCGCTTACTCATCTGAGAAATGGGGATAATTGTCATATGTCCTCATAGGAGAAGAGTCAATAGGATAATGTAACTGAAGGACTTAGCCCCGTAGGCAGTAGGATGGTCCTGGTTTAATGGATGTCAGTGGTGATCATTAACCCTCCTCTTTCAGGAAGTCTTCTGGGTGGCCAAGATTGGGTTATGTGCCTCTCACCTGCAATGCTATGGTTCCTCTCTCAGGTGTCACCCTGTATTGTCTTTGCTTATTTGCTTGTCTATTTTCCCTTCTAGACCAGCAGCTCCCTGAGGGCAATGATTATGTTTCATTCACTGGTTATTTTTTTCCCCCAGAGTTAAACACAGCAACTAACCCACAGTAGGCATTCAGGAAAGGATGAACGTGAGTATGATCTTGAACAAGTCCTAAACCTCTCTGAATCTGCCTCCTTATCTTATAAATGAAAAGGTTGGACAGGAAAATTTCCAAGACTTGCTCTTCATGTCTAAAATTCTACACTTAAACTTTATTTATTTATTTTCATTTTGGAAGTACCTAAGGACCAAGCCTGGACCATGGTTGGGAGGTCACGACCTTTTGGCTAGTTGGAAGAATTTTCTAATGTCCAACAGCTGGTCAAAAGTGGAATGGGGTAGTCTGGGAAGGGAGTGAGCTCTTTGCCTTGGAAGGTAATCAAGCCCTTCGCAGGGATGTTGTAGGGAGGATTCATACAATCAGAAGAGCAGTGATGAACAGCTCCATGTGAATAAACAGCACAATCTTACTTTAGGGGCTGGGAGCTAAAAATAGGAGCATGATGGATGATAATCCCACTGGCTCCCCCTTGGGCACATGCAGAAATTGCCTTCCCAGTGCTAACCAATTCCAGGTGGCCCTCCTGTGGCTGGGGCTGGGGAGTGACATTTGGAACCGCACACACACAGGGCACGTGAGTCGGTGTGGGGGAATGACCAGGGAATGCACGGATCTACGAAGAAGGACTAGAATGTGCACAAGAATGTTCTCTTCTAGCTATTTTTAGAATAGGAGCGAAGTAGGAAAAGCATTTTTCCACACAATGTTTTGTACTCAGGGCTCCCTGATCACCTCCTGTCATGTTCTCTGAAAAGTATTCGTATCTACCCCGCGCTCATGCACACACATGTATTTGCACACATGTGCACCCACACTCAGCTCTCCCTTCCTGCTCTCCAGATCACCTTCTGGACAGGACCTATGGCTAAACGCTGAGGCTCATTCTCCTCCTTGCCCCAGACACCCAGCATCCCTCAGTCTCTGGTCATTTCTGAAATTTTAGTCAAAATCAGAAAACCCTTCAGAAATGAGGAAAGAATACACAAATATTCAAAGGCAGTTGCAGATAAACAATTCCTGATTTCAGAAAAACCCATCTTTTCCCCAGCACCCTAAATGGTAAATGTGTATGTTACTATCTTCAGTAACCTTTAACTTTGCCTTCATTCGTTACAGAAATTACTTTATAGTAATAGCCATCACCGATTTTTTTTTTCATTTGCTCTCTTACAGTGTTTCTTTGTAGGTATAAATGTTTACAAGTTACAAATTTTAACATACTTACAAGTTAAGTTTATTTCTCCACGTGACACTAGGCAGTAAACACTTTCCTACATTGCTAAGCAAAGTTTTCACCTTTGCTTCTGTTAATAATTGCACTTTGTTGACTGGTTGCATCATAGTTTCCTTAAAGATTTTCCCACTGTGACTATTGTAGGAAATATTTAAAATTTTAGGTTAAAAATAACAGTGCAACAAAGATCTTAATGCACAGAACCATTCCCTCATTTTTGATTATTCTTTAACCTAAATTCCTAGATGTGCAATTACTGGGAGAAAGGATACAAATATCATAAAAGAAATATAGTCCATAAACATTTTTATTTTTCCTGAATTGGCCCTTATGCAGAAAATGATTGCTCCCCACTGAGGTGGATGGTTGGACTGAGGAACTCTAAGATTCCTTTTTATCCACCAGATCCCATGATTCTAAAATGATGATGCTAAAAGCCTATTCTTAATTCAAGGAGCAAAGGAGCAAGCACCAGGAGGTTGTCTGTTTATGTGTCTTGCTGATGTGCTCATGATAGTTGTAGTGCTGGGTGGGGGTTGGATGGGCCAGCAAGGTGCTGGGGAAGGGGACAAGCCTGGACAGGCCAGGCAGACAGAGGGACGGGCAAGCATTTTCTCTCCCTCTTACAGGTTGCACGGCCCCAACCAGAACTACTCTCTTTCTGAACGTATGCACACAGACTCCTTTAAAACGGGGAGGCCTGACACCCCAGCAGCAAACCCATGTACAGAATTGTTAGACTTCAAGGAGAGACAATAGGTTGGAATCGAGGCGGGGGTGGGGTGGGGGAGGATGGAGGGAAAGGATGGGGGAGCGCGGCCAGCTTCAGTCCCGGCCAACGAGACGAGCCCATCTCCTGTTGTGTTCAACAGGGAAACAGGGAAATGGTTCTGCTGATGTTTCCATTCTCAAACTCCCCAGAGAAGGTAGATAATAAATAAGTGACAATAACAGATTGCACACTGTCAGCGCGGGCACTTCTTTGCCCCCAGAGAATTGATTTTTAATAACAGCGCAGATGACATGTGGCGGGAGTTGTCGCTGACACCGGTGTTTTGTGGGTCTCAATAAATCACATCAGCCTGGAGGCTCTGAAATGGACGAGCTCGTTGGGTGCTGTTTGCCGATTGCTACTGAGTGCTGGGAAGGGTCCTGGGCTCTGAGTCAGGAGGCTGGATTCTGCAACCTCTAGACAGCTAGACCTTGGCCAGTTACTTGACCGGTCTGGACCTCAGTTTTCCTATCTTTAAAATGGGCATAATTGCCTCAAAATTACAGCACTGTTGCAAAAGGTTGGATGAAGAAATGTTCATATAAAGTCCCATAAAATATGGTGATCACTATTGTACTTATAAAGGTCCAGAAAGGCAAGAAGTTGACAGGTTTGGGGGCAGAGTATCTGGCATCTCTGTTCTCATGGGACTGTCATTTGAAGGATCTTCTCTGGCCAATAAAATAGGTGGAAGATGGAGGCTGGGCGTGGTGGCTCACACCTATAATCCTAGCATTCTGGGAGGCCTAGAGGGTAGGATTGCTTGAGCCCAGGAGTTTGAGACCAGCCTGAGCAAGAGCAAGACCCTGTCTCTACAAAAAACAGAAACAAATAGCCGGGTGTGGTAGTGCACACCTGCAGTCCCAGCTACTTGAGTAGCTGAGGCAGCAGGATCACTTGAGCCCAGGAGTTTGAGGTTGCTGTGAGCTATGATGATGCCATTGCTAGCCCGGGCAACAGAGTGAGATCTGTCTCAAAAAAAAAAAAAAAAAAAAAAGGTGGAAGATGGGAAGGCATAAAAATCAGCTGACAACTGGGTCCAGGATTGGGGATGGCAGTGTGGTGCCTTCTTGTGCCAGTAAGCTGTGATGTGAGAATAGTAACAACAAATGAATATTGTTTTTAATTAATTTCTTTTTAAAGACAAGGTCTTGCTCTGTCACCCTGGTTAGAATGCAGTGGCATCATCATAGATCACTGCAACCTGGCCTTAGGCGATCCTCCTGCCTCTGCCTCTCAAAGTGCTGGGGTTACAGGCATGTGCCACCATGCCCGCACACAAATGAATACTGGTTAAGTGTTTACAGTGCCAGAGCTGCGCTAACTGCTTTACATACAGTATCTCATTTACTCCTAATAAGACCCTGAGAGGCAATTACCATAATTATCTGATTTTACAGATGAGAAGACACTTAGCTACCCATGTGTAGGACAGGCCCTGCGGGTGACAAGGGTGTGCTGGCTGTGAAGGCTGCAGACTGCATATTTGTGCAAGGGCCCAGGGCTGCTCGGCCACGCGAGAATGCAGCGGCGAGGCCCTGGCCCCGGCCCCAGCATGGCCAGGTCTTTCCATTTTCCAAAAGCACATGGGTGCAGAGTAGGATTTGTGTAGGAAACCTCTTGATATTTAAATATTGACAGCTTATTAAAACTTTGTTATTTTAAAAGACATTGTAAGAGCCAATTACAATATTGCTAACTAATAGCTAGCTGTCTGTGCACTGGACTGAGCCCCTGGGTTTCCAGCTTGTGATTTCTGGTGCATGAGCTTTGTCTCCTAGCAGAGGTTCACAGCACTGCATCGCCCCTCTGAACCCAGAAGTAACAACTGTACACAGGATGCCCACCAAAATGTGGCTAGGGGCCACGCACTGTGCTCCATACCAGAGGGCGGAATATAATTGCATATCCTAATTCTCATAAGGGAGGTGATACTAATCCCATTCTACATACAAAGCAGCGGAAACTCAGAGGGGTTAAATGGTTTGCTCAAGGTGCCGCCAGTCTAGGAAGTGAGCCACACCCGGGCATGGCTGACTCTCAGGGGTCGCTCTCTCTACCCTACTGAGCAAACAAGGGTGCAGGGTGGGGAGGTGCATTTGTGGCTTTGAGCAAAGGAGAGAGGGGGAGGGAAGCACTCAGTCCTCTTCCTGTTGGTACTCAGCACCGTGCAAGCCAAACCCAGCGCGCTGGGGTACTCACAGCACTCGGAGGGACCGCAGCCCGTTGAAGGCGTGGACGGGAATGCATCTCAGCCGGTTGTAGCTCAGAATCCTGCAGAAAAGGGGGCGTGCACCCTGTTGGCTGTTCCTGTTCTCAGCTACTCATGGGAGCACTGCTCACATTGTGAACCCATCAGAGCACATGGTTTCTTTACCTTCTTTCTAATCTACTGACAAGAGCATCCTAACAATAAGTGCAGGGAAACCTCTCCTGCCACTCCGGGAAGCTCACTGGCTTCATTCCCCAGTGTCCTCCCAGGTCCCGCGGCGGCTGGCTCTGTAACCAGCTTGTCCATCACCTCCCTCCCCTGTCACATGGTGAGTGCTCACAACGTGCAAAGCTAATGGGAAATAAATGGGTCTGAGCACAATGTAATTGTGTAGGGAAAGCCTCCACTAGGAGAGAAAATTCACAAATCAGAAAGTATTCCAAAGAGCCTTCTTTAGAGGTGATTAGGAGCTAGTTCCTCTCTAGCTGCACAGACATTGGAGTTCTGTCTTACTTCATTTTCCTCCTGATGATTAAGGGCCACCCTATGCTAGGGCAGCCCTAGCCCCGAGGATCACTAGAGCAGAGAACTTAGTCCTGGGGGGACAGAGAGAAAGAGTGACCGTCTACTGCTAGGCCCATGGGCATGGTCAACACTGTACTCACAGAGTGGAGAGGTGAGACATGTTACTGAAGGTGTAATTGGTCAGCACACTGATGCTGTTGTTGCTCAGGTCACTAGGAAAAGTAAAACAGAAGGGTCATGCTTTACTCTAACTGACTCCATAGGAGACCATTCCCAAGTATCACACACGCCTATCATCCATCCATCCATCCATCCATCCATCCATCCATCCATCCATCCATCCATCCATCCATCCATCTTTCCACCTACCCATCCATCTTTCAACCTATCCATACATTCACTCACCCATCCACACATCCATGCACCTGCCTATTTATCTACCCACCTACTTACCTGCACACTTGCCCACCCATCTTTCTATCTATCCATCTACTCACCCACCTACCCACACATCTACCCATCCACCTACCCACCCACCCACACACACACTCACCCATTCATCCATCTACCCACCTGCTCACTCATTCACTCACCCATCTACCATCTACCCACTCACCTATTTGTCCCACTATCTCATCTGCCCATTTGCCTACCCACCTACACAACCATCTATCCATCCATCCACTTATTTATCCAGATGTTAATTTTTCCATTCAAGCACTTATTCAATCTTTCAAGCAATTGTTATTCATTAATCCCTCCATTAATTTACTCAGTTAATCATTCAATGATGTATCTATCTATTCATCCATTTCATTCTACCAACAAAACATAATACATATGATCATTTTTAGTACTTATTTTAGTACTTTTTCCCAATTAATTCTTTTCACTGTCCCTCCATACTTCTTCTCATCTGACATTCATTTATTCCCTCTATCAGATTCTCTCTTAGGAGGAATGAGGCTGGTGGGGGTATACTCCTCTGCCAACTACAACCTCGAGCTCCCCCTCGGGGATAAATAGCCAGAGAAGTGGCAACATTAGCTGCACATTAGAATCACCTGGGAGCTTTTAAATCCTCGCATGCCTGGGTCCTATGCCCACATATTCTGATTCAATTGGTTTAGCATGAGCTTGAACATCAGTATTTTTTAACAAAACAGTTGCTCAGATGATTCCTCTAATCAGGTGAAGTTAAGAACCATTTCTCTAGAGCAGCGGTTTTCAACTAGGGGCACTTTTGCTCCCCCGGTGGCATTTGGAAATGTCTGAGACATTTTTGGTTGTCAATACTCGGGGTGGGTGGGAAGAGCTACCGGCACGTAGTGGGCAGAGGCCAGGGATGCTGTTAAACATCTTGTAACATCCGTGAAAGCCCTCCACAACCAAGAATTATCCGCCCCCAATGTCCATGTTCCAAGGTTGAGAACTCCTCGTCCAGAGTCTGGATTCCAGAGTATCTAGAAATCCAGGCCAAGGACAGGTGGCTTTCTTCCACCTCTCCTTGGTTGGCTCCCTCCTTTCCCCAGGGTGAGTCTCTTTCATTCTGAAAGAACTTGCATTTTCCCCTTGTGGGCTGGCTCTCTGTTGCTCTAGTAGACATGGGCACCTTTCAATTACCACTTGCTCATGGAATGATTTTGCACTGTCCTGGGTTCCATCGTGACAGGGTGTTGAGGCTGCTGAGGGACAAAGATCACAGGCCACCTGGCTTCCTGGGCCATGTCCATGCTCAGCAGCCCTGCTCCTTATTCTAGAGTTTTCCTGGGTCTTGGCAGACTTGGAGCCAATAGCAACCACCACCTAAAGGATCCTCAGTTTGAACCACTTCCTTGGGACATTCTCTGGGGAACTAAACAAATTGGAAGAAGAAATGCCCATTTATGCTTTTGGCAGACCTAAAGGCCACAGCTTGCAAGGAGCTGGCGACTGAGGAAGTGCAGGAATTCAGTTTGGACCTCGGAAGGTCAAGGGCTCACCCACCTTCACCTAAGCCAAGCAGAAAGGTGGTTCAGGTAGCCCATGGTGCCAGGCTCTGGGTATTTCTGTGTGTGGGTCCCACTGGGTAAGACCATCAGGATGGTCCATTACTCCCAGCTGCCTCGCCCTGCTCCACCCAGGGAGAAAAGTGTGGAAATGCCAGGTCTGCCTGCAGCACCATTCTCTCTTACCCCCCACCTCGGTTTCCTGAGCTACCCTAGGAGAGAAAACTAAATGTCCCACCCAGCACCGGGCTCCTTACATGAGTGTCAGGTGTCGGAGGGCGGACAGCTCTCTGGGCACAGCTGTGAGGTGGTTTCCTTCCAGGTACCTGAAAGAGAAGTGCAGAGTGACAACACCTGGGAGAGACACGGCACAGACTGTCACTCTCAGCGAAGCCTGCAATGACTTTCCAGGCTAGGCTGGGTCTCATTTACACTCTAATAGGTCCCTCTCTTCAAAGCACATACTACATTTGTCATTTATTTGTGTGATTATTCAACTGATGACAGTTTTCTCCAATAGACTGATAAGTTCCACGAAGGCAGGGCTCTTGTCTAACATTGCCCACTGTTGGATCCCCCAAGCCTGTTTACAGAGCTGATACATAGTAGGTGTTCAATAAACATTTGTTTAAGGAATAAAGTCTCACTTTAAGGTCAGCGCTCACAATATCCTTCCATGGCAGGAATTCACAGTTGAGGAAGCAGAAGCTTAGAGATGTTAAAATACCTGCCCAGGGTCACACAGCAAGCAGGTGGTCGAGCTAGGATTTGAACCCAGGTCTCCCAGACTGTACTCTTTTTTTTTTTTTTTTTTTTTTTGAGACAGAGTCTCGCTTTGTTGCCCAGGCTAGAGTGAGTGCCGTGGCGTCAGCCTAGCTCACAGCAACCTCAAACTCCTGGGCTCGAGCGATCCTTCTGCCTCAGCCTCCTGAGTAGCTGGGGCTACAGGCATGCGCCACCATGCCCGGCTAATTTTTTATATATATATCAGTTAGCCAATTAATTTCTTTCTATTTTTATAGTAGAGACGGGGTCTCGCTCTTGCTCAGGCTGGTTTTGAACTCCTGACCTTGAGCAATCCGCCCGCCTCGGCCTCCCAGAGAGCTAGGATTACAGGCGTGAGCCACCGCGCCCGGCCCCAGACTGTACTCTTAACCACAACTCCACACAGCCTCTATGTAGCTACCAGAGGATTCTGGGAGAACTGAGCCACAAGTCACTGTTGACTATCTCTGATGTGTGTTTGGAAACTGAGGAAATAGGGGCTCATCTCTGGTACCTGGAGCCCCGTGAGATGGTGCCCAGCAGGAGGACCAGCTGGCAGGAGAGGACAGGGCTTCAGAATGAGGATGCACGGGACAGATAGGGACACGTGGACAGGCACAGGCTGAGCCCAGATCTTCCCACACTTTAGTGTCCTGCACTGATCTATTCATCTAGGACGAGGCCACCTCCTTGAAGACTCAAGTGTGGTTTCAGAGGAGAAAGTCTCCAAGTAATTACATAATCATGAGTTACGAAGGTTATCACTACCCTCAAGAGGGGACATGGGCCAGTTCATTCCCTTCCACCCTTGTCATCAACCCCTTTCCCCTGGGCTGCCTGTTGCTCTCAGAACAAAACTGCAAAACCTTAAGACAGCTTACAAACCCTGCTTTGATCCCCTGGGTGAGCTCCCCTGGGTGAGCTTCCCTGGATCTAAAGCTCCTGTAGTGTCCTCTCTCAGAATAGCCAACACGCACACGGTCACTGCTGTCCATTTGCCCAGTGCCTGCCTTAAGCTCCAGGAGGGCAGACCGAGCCCCATCTATCGCTAGCCCGGTGCTCCTCGAACTTCAACTAACTACCCAGACTGTCTCGAACCACCAGTCTTGCTAAAAAGCAGATTCTGATCTAGTAGGTCTGGGGTAAGGTTGGAAAGTCTGCATTTATGACAAGCTCCCAGGGGATGGGGGTGGGGACTGCTGGTCCGCAGACCACATTTTGAGTAATGAGGTCCCAGCACAATTCCTGGTGTCCAGTAGTCCAAAACGACTGAATGAACGGGTTAAAACAGGAGATGGGCACGTATGTTAATAACTGAACCAGGTTTGGCTTTAAGGACATGTTAGAATGTGTATTAACTTTAATCAAGACCAAGTGACTCTCTTCCTGTAGCTGGTCCCTGGCACAAGACACTGCGTATACTGGTGAGACGGCCACAGCCTGCTTTCAGGCAATTAAAAACCTAATAGGGGGAAGAAGTGAGGAAGGGGAGAGAGGACAGACCCATAAAGAGATGTCAATTATAAATTCTGATCGATCTGTGCTTTGAGGGGAGGGCAAGGTGCTGTGGCGGAGAGTGCCCAGGGGCTGACCGCACAAAGACGGGCGAGGAAGAGGAGTTTAAGATGAGAATCGACAGGCGAAAAGGACGAGGCCTTGGACAGAGCAGGGGAAGAGAGAGTCCAGCCAGGCTGCAGCCTGTGCAGGGCACTGAGTGTCGGAGCAGGGAAAGGCGGTGGGGGCTGAGTTCCCATGGGTCGGTGGAGGGGGCACCGTGGGAGGTGGGGCAGACCAGGCCGAGGCCTTGGAGGTGACTTTATTGAAAGCATCAAGAGAGGCCATGGCTGCAGACAGGGGCAGGGCCTGGGCTCGGCCTGCTGTCCTCCCCGAACCACGGGCTGCAGGGCGCTCGCGTTCTAGGCGGATGCTTGCCCTGCGCCTCAGCAGGGGCAGGGCAGGCATGGAGGGGGGGGAGTCCTTCAGTTCTCTCCCTTGGGCAGGGAGGCTCTGGGTGGAGGGCTGGGTGGCAGATTCCAGGTCCCTGCAGCCTGAAGGCGGGGAGGACGAGCCACGCCAGGCCACCCACCGGCCCACACACTTGCAGGAAGTGTTCTGTGCACAGCGTGGCAGGGGGAGCTCCGAGGCAGGAGCCGGAGGAACAGGCAGGGCAGGCAGAGGGGCTGCTCCTGGGTGCATCTCTGCTCCAGGGAGACCCGAGGGGGCCTCGGGATGGGGTCTGACCTCAGACTGACAGCAGTCGCTTACCCTCTCCTACGCTGCTCATTCTCTTGCTCCTGTTGGTTTGCTGCAGCTACTTAGCAAACTTGAGCATCTAAGATGAAAACAGAATAAAGTGCCCAGGCCCCAACCTCCCTGCTGGGATGTTTGCAGAAGGCCGGGGCCAAGCACGTCTGAAGACAGGCTATGGGCTGGGCTCGCTGTGGGCCTTGGAGCAAGCTACTGAACCCCACAGGCAACCCAGCGACAAGCACAATTCTGAAACCCAGACAGAAGTCACCAGCACGATCTGAGGGGCAGTCCCAGGGCTTTGGGACAGAGAAGTTCTGGACTGTGATCACACTCAGTTCTCTGGAGCTGGGGTGAGGGGTGTGGTGCTGAGCGCACGGAGGTACACGAATAGTCCAGGAGTCGGGATTTAGACTTGGCTCTGTCGGACCCCGGATCGCGAGAAGTCAATGTTGTACTGTTTCACCTCTGCGCTCCGAGCTTATTTTCACCTCACTCCATCACCGCACTGGATCATCATTTCTTTTCTCTCTCAACCTCATAGGGTGTAAACTCCACGAGGGCAGGGATTTGTGCCGGTTCTGTGTCCTGCTATGTCTGCATGCCTAGTAGCGTGCTTTCACTATTTGTTGAATGAATGAATACTGCCAAGGATCATTCACAGGACCCTGGATTTAAAAACCTAACACTGCCGGGCGTGGTGGCTCACACCTGTAATCCTAGCACTTTGGGAGGCCGAGGCGGGCGGATTGCTCAAGGTCAGGAGTTCGAAACCAGCCTGAGCGAGACCCTGTCTCTACCAAAAATAGAAAGAAATTAATTGACCAACTAAAAATATATATACAAAAAATTAGCCGGGCATGGTGGCGCATGCCTGTAGTCCCAGCTACTCGGGAGGCTGAGGCAGTAGGATCGCTGAGCCCCAGAGATTGAGGTTGCTGTGAGCCAGGCTGACGCCACGGCACTCACTCTAGCCTGGGCAACAAAGTGAGACTCTGTCTCAAAACAAAAACAAACAAAAAAACCTAACACTGACAGTGGTCTCAAGAAATGCCCTGTGCCTGGCCCAGATATCTCTGCAGGACAAGCCATGCTGTATAAATGCATGGATTTGCTGAGCTGATGAGTAAAAGCATAAGTGGCCACTGGAATTCAGGGATGCCCACAGCATGTAAGACAGGGAGGTTCAGGCCCCTGGAGGATGGGCACAGCTGCTTCTAGAACCTCTGGGCTCCAGGCTGGCTCTGATTGGTACTATACCAAATACCAATTGAATTAGCTTCTCTGTCTGCTTAAAACCCTCGGTGACTGCCATTACTTACTAGAGAAGGGCCACCCAACTCCTGCCCACATCCAACAAGGCCTTCTGTGGCCTGTTTTCTATCAGTCAAAGGATTTCCAGAGAAGCAGAATCAATAGGACATATATAGAGAGACAGCAGGGGAGGAGGAACATTTATTCTAAGGGATTGGCTCATGCAACCACAGGGCTGGCAAGTTCGAAATGTATCGGGCAGGCTGGCAGGCTGGAAACTCAAGCAGGATTTCTGCCACTGTCTTGAGGCAGAATTCCTTCTCCAGGAAACCTCAGTTTTTTGCTCTTAAGGCCCTTAACTGATTAGAAGAGGCCCGTCTCCACATTATGAATAGAAATCTCCTTAATTAAAGCGTCAACAGATTGCAGATGTTAGTTAACTGCATCTACAACCAACCTTCAAGCAACATCTAGACTGTTTGACCAAACAACTGGGTGTCACAGCCTGGCCAAGCTGACACAGGAAACTGACCACCACAGCCCTGCCTCCTCTCTTTGCTCTTCTTGCATCAAACTCTCCCGTGGCCTCTGGTGGAGTGGGTCCCAACTCCAGTGGCCTTAACCTTCCTCAAATGCCCCACGCCCCTCTGTGTGGGGCCCAGTTCCCTCTCCTTGCCTGGGTAAATCCTACAGGTGCTCATATCCCAGCTCCGACATCTTCCCTGATGAGACTTCACACTTACTGGTGATGCTACAGAGTCCCAAAGCTTTGAGTGTATTTTCTTCACAGCATGTCACCCCATGGTGACATCTTTCGTGCGACTCTGTGATGTGCAGCATTCCTGTACACTGCCTGGCAACAGTAGATGCTCAGGAAACATCATCTGCATGATGAAAATCCCAGAACTCCCCAGGAGAGCTGCATTTGGCACGACAGAGCCGGGCGGAAGTCGTTTCAGTGCAGAATGTCCCCAGCGACCTGGCATTGCAGCTCAGCAGACTTGGAATCAAAAGGTTTCACTTTAGAAATGCAGATTGTAGTGTGGGGGGGGGGAAGCTT